GGCTGGTTGAGCAGCAGCATTGGAAGTGTTGCAAGCTTGCTGGGATGGCTCTGAACTAAGGGGAGCAGATTCTAAGGCCAACAATCCGAGGGGGAGTTTGTTGGTGCAACCCTATGGTTTGCACTCGGCTTGTCGTCCTTGTTTGTGTGTGTGGATGCATGGCATGGAATGAATTGTGAGTCTATGTCATTGCTATCTAGTGCTTGTGTGTGTGTTTGAATGGTGTATCACAATGTGGTTTGTGTCGGTCAAGACATTAGCGAGTTTTTACAACTCGCATGTCAAGTCGTCGTTTGCGTGTCGCATGTGTTTTTTCTATTTTGTCGAGTGTGAAGTGTCCATCGTATCGCAGGTGTGTGCAGAAAGCCCCCATCAACTCAAGAAGAATTTATCTTGCAGAACCAAGACCAAGGGACACGGATAAATATTAAATAGTGAAAATAGTAACGCTACTTCGTGTAGTGTTACATTTCACTTGGTGTAGCCCCTTGGAGGGTTTGTTTCGAGACTCTTCATGGTTGGGGACTATGTGGTGGTGTACCACCAACCTGGACCTCGGCTCTTGGGGTATGTAGAGGCTGGGAACTATCTCCATCTCGAATTCTTCTTGCTAATTTTGTACTTCCAAGACCATAGTGGCTGCTATACCTCCTGCCAGTCAAACCGCCATAACGTCGTCAAATCTTCATGGAATTTCATGATTCAACTTGCTGCTGATAGACGACAGCAACGCCCTCCAGATTCAAGTTACATTTCACCGTTTAAGTCAGCGAGCAGATCGTTATCAATATTTGAAGCCGTCTGACGGAAATCCGACTGTGCTCTCTATCTCTCATTATAGGCACATCTGAGCCTATTGTGATTATAACATGACGTAGGCCAGCGGTCTGTATAGGTTACACAGTCGCTTTGTGGGCAGATGACGCTGAGATGCTCAGGTCTTCGCAAGGCTACTACTTTAGCCTTGGTGCAGGCGCCATCTCGTGGAGGTCCACTCGCTCGTCGTTTGTTTTCCAGTATAGCTGTAAGGTTGAGATCTACGCTTGTGCCATGGCGGCACAGTAGCTCCACTGGCTGACCTTCTTACTCACAGACTTAGGTGAGCGGCCTAGCTCTACCCCAGTCCTGTACGCTGACAACAGGGCCATGATTCTCCTGTGTCAGGAGCCTCGACTCGAGGGCAGAGTGAAGCACATCCATCTGTGGTACGTCCTCCTACGTGAGCTACAGCAGTGTCGCCAAGCCCGCGTAGTACACTTGGCCTCCGGTGCCAACACAGCTGATATCTTTACTAAGGCGCTTGCGCCTAAAGATCATCGGCGGTACTGTTTGCAGCTTGGTCTAGTTCGTGTAGCTCCTCACTTGCTAGGGCCTTGATTGTGTACTACTCTTTTATATATATTCTCCTGACTAGCCTGGTGGCTACTGCCATTAACGCCCGGATAGAAGACCCCTATGTCTTATCATATACCGACCTAAGAAGTGGTGAAATTTCTTATAAACGGAAAAAACTAGGTGGGGTGTGAATCTTATAAACGGAAAAAAATCTTATATATGGAGGACCATGTTTAAGGGCTGAAAAAAAATCGAATTAGGGTTTTCTGGGATCGTGCGTCCATAATTTGACAACGAAACACTTAACAAAGTTGGGATTTTTCACGCACGCCGCAATCATTACAGCATGCCAGTGTGACGCCAGGGGGAATGTATCTACTGCATTGTCACACCAGCTGGCAGTGGTCGTTACGTGCTGAATGGTGGATGATGCTGTTCACAGCGGCATCACATGCTGCCATGCGTAGCAAGCATCCACCTCAGGACAAGGCGTCAGGGTTTAGGCAGCGCGGAACTGAGCCCTCACCACCCCACGTTTATGTCAACATTTTTGGGCGCCATAACTTCCCTAGCCACGGGCTGAATATCCCAGGCACCGCTGCCAAGAAAACCTCGTCGCCGCCGCCTGACTGTGGGATGGCTGGAATGGGCGAGGGGGAGGACAACAACGCTGAGGACGGCGGCGTTGTCAACGCCTCTGACGATGACTGCTGGGTGAAACCCATCGGTTTCGAGGAGGAGATTGAGGAATGTTATGCTGGCAAGGAGGATGAAGATGATAACCAGGCGTGTGAGATGGCAGGCGGCGAAGAGCACGACGGTGATTACGCAGAGGAATACGGTGCTGATGATGATAATGAGGAGTGTGGCATAGGCAAGGATTGTGCAGCAGAGGAGGTGGAGGACGGAGATGACGGCGAGGCGGCTTGCGACAACATGGGTGACGGTGACGACGCGAGCCACGGCGACGACATGGGGACTGACGGCATGAGTGACGAAAACGTTCCGATCGAGAAGCACTGTGTGAAGTGGCTGGTTGAATCCAAAGCGAAGAGGCAGGGATTGTCATGCAGTGAGAACGGTGCTACTGAAACAAAGAAGAAGCAGAGTGCAGAACCTGACGAAGTCTCTCCCAAGCGGCAGCAATACTTAGCAGCAGAGAAGGGAAAATCTAAGGCGGACGACATCCCACAGTCGACAAAGCGAAAGAGTTCATCGCCGCATGGTCTTTGGAAGGCCACAAAGCGAGCTGGCGTATCTACTCCAGACACGGTTCCTGAAGATAACTCCGACGACTAGTATGAAGAGGCAGCCGGCCCGCTCCCCACCTTCCCTGAAGGCAGGAAGCCGAAAAACCCCCAGAAGAAGAATCAAGATGCCCAGCTGCCGTCTCCGCGAAACCTACTCTTGAAGAAGTGTCGTCGTAGCTTCATCACGCGGAAGAAGACAAAATGGGCCCGCCGCTATTGCGAGCTCAAGTCCTTCAAGCGGAGTGCGGCAGAGGCGGGCGTGAGCCCGTGTTCCATCAAGCGGTGGGTGGACCAATAGATGCTTGGGCAGTACAAGGGCGCCGCCAAGTGTCGCAAGCAACTCCATGGAGCGGGGCGGCATGCTCATCACCCTGTCATGGAGGAGAAGGTGTACAAATGAATCTGCGAGTAGCGGGGATTCAGCTTGGCGGTCGGCGTGAAGTAAATCCATGAGTGGAGCCTCAATTACATGCGCAAGCAGCAGCCAAAGGGCCCTTGGCAGGCGTCCAGCCGCTGGAGCCAACGGTTTTGCAAGCGATGGGGATTCACCATGCGCTGCCGCACTAAGGTCGGCCAAAATCTCTCTCCAGGTGAGCGTTTGTTTGTGTTCCCTTGCTGGCTGATCGCCTCTGCTTGCTGGGCTCATCGCCCATCCCTGCTCCTCCTCTTGCTTGCCTTGCATGCGGTATCGACGGTTCCGCTAGCTGAACAAGGTCTGATCTCTCATCCCCTTCTCCCTCCCCCTCCCCCTCCTCCTCCCCCCCACCCTTGTCCCTCTTCCCCTAATAACAGAGTGCGCCCAGGATTGTGAGGGGTTCTGGAAATTCGTCCAAATCAACCGGGCCCGCCACAACATCGACATGCGCCGCATCATCAACGCGGATTAGACGCCGCTTTTTGTCGAGATGCCGGCGGAAAGGACCCTAGAGCACAAGGGATCGCGCTCCGTTCCAGTGAAGAGTGCGGGATACGAGAAGCAATGTCTGAAGGTGATGCTGGCGTGCGCTGCGAACGGGGACAAGCTTCGTCCGTGGGTTTGGTTCCAGCGCAAAACCAAACCCAAGTGAGAATGCCCTCTAGGTAGGTTGGGCCTTTCCCCCTTTTGCATGCCCGCCTTCCTGGGAGTCCTCTACCGCAGTCAGTCCACAAAGCTTGGCTATGTATGCATGGCAGGCATGCAATCATGACTCTGTTTCTTAAATGCACCTGCCTTGTTCCCTTGTGTGTGTGTGTGTGTGTGTGTGTGTGTGTGTGTGTGTGTGTGTGTGTGTGTGTGTGTGTGTGTGTGTGTGTGTGTGTGTGTGTGTGTGTGTGTGTGTGTGTGTGTGTGTGTGTGTGTGTGTGTGTGTGGGTGTGTGTGTGTGTGTGTGTGTGTGTGTGTGTGTGTGTGTGTGTGTGTGTGTGTGGTGTGTGTGTGTGTGTGTGTGTGTGTGTGTGTGTGTGTGTGTGTGGTGTGTGTGTGTGTGTGTGTGTGTGTGTGTGTGTGTGTGTGTGTGTGTGTGTGTGTGTGTGTGTGTGTGTGTGTGTGTGTGTGTGGTGTGTGTGTGTGTGTGTGTGTGTGTGTGTGTGTGTGTGTGTGTGTGTGTGTGTGTGTGTGTGTGTGTGTGTGTGTGTGTGTGTGTGTGTGTGTGTGTGTGTGTGTGTGTGTGTGTGTGTGTGTGTGTGTGTGGTGTGTGTGTGTGTGTGTGTGTGTGTGTGTGTGTGTGTGTGTGTGTGTGTGTGTGTGTGTGTGTGTGTGTGTGTGTGTGTGTGTGTGTGTGTGTGCGTGGCAGGCGTCAAGGTTCAAGCGCAGGTCAACGGGTGGATGGACGAGGAGGCTGTTGGGAAGTAGCTTTTGAAGGAAGTGCTGCTGTTCCTAAACCCCAAGCGTGGATCAGCCGCCTGACGCAGCATGCTGGTCTTGGATTCCTACAGGGGTCATCTCACTAACGGGATGAAGGCCGCCTACAGGACACACAGTATTGTACCTGCAATAATCCCAGCTGGATGGACACCCTTTATTCAGCCCCTTGACGTGTCTGTCAATAGGTGCTTCAAAGTGGGAGTGCGTGCCCAGTACGCCAAATGGTTCGCGAAACATGGCATAAACTTGAGGACTCTGAGAGGTACGGTATTTTGCTATCCTATACACATCTTTGTAGCTCAATTCCTACGATTCACTTTGAATGCCTCTGTCTTTTGCGCCCCCAAATCCATCAGGGAACCTTCGACGCCCGCCTCATGCGGTCGTGCTGAAATGGATTGACGAGGCGTGGAGGGATGTCCCCCGTGACGTCATCGTACGCGCGTTCAAGACGTGCGGCATCTCTAGCTCCATGGACGGCACCGACAACTACTTTGTGCTTCAACACATGCGCGAAGAGCCCGTGATCAACATGTCGGAGGGCATGTCCCTGCGGGACACAACTGGGGACAACAGCAGCTTTGTGGTGGGGCAGGAGAGGGGGAAGGAGAAGGAGGAGAGGGAGGCAGAGGGGGGAGGAGGATGATGCGAGAGAGGAGGAGGAGGAGGAGGAGGAGGAGGAGGAGGAGGAGGAGGAGGAGGAGGAGGAGGAGGAGGAGGAGGAGGAGGAGGAGGAGGAGGAGGAGGAGGAGGAGGAGGAGGAGGAGAACCCCGCGGAGCCAGACCCGTTCCCTGAGAGAGAGATTTGTCGCGGTGCTGCAGCAGAGGCAGACAAGCTGCATGAGCCTGAGAAAACTGCGCAGCATGCTTGGGGGGTGCCTGACTTCCAGAAGCCCGCCCCTGTAGGGGTCATTGATGAGGACGACTGTGATTTCTCGACGATGGATACTTTTGAGGATTCTTAGACCCTTCACTCTGTGTGTAATCGACGTCTAATGTTAGCCTTTCGAACAATACAGGGTGTTAACACATGCGACACTGAAACAACCTTGAAAACAATTTAGGGTATCTTATCTCATACCTCCCTCGAATGATTTTCGTATAAAAGGAAATGCCTAATAGAAGATAGGCGCCTAATGAGGACACTATCATGCAGAAACATGAGGAGTTTTAAGGCCTCATGAGACTGCTGTCCAGGTCTCGGTGTGAATGCTCTCGCGACGTCTGTGGCAAGGGTTTAGGTTTGAAGTTCTAAGGCACTCGAGAACTGAGCTGCACCAAAGAATCACTAGAGAGCGTCAGCATCAACCAGTCACACTTTACATGCGTCGGGGATTGAACCCAGAATCTCTCCCACCGAAGGGATTTACTGGGCCCACTAGGACACAGGACGTGCAGAAAAATTGCTCTACCCTTTACCTGCTAGCCACCCGCCTCCCTGATCGCCTTGCTACTGCCATAGAGACTCATCAGCGCTCTATCGCCCGGTCTAGCGGTACTGTGCCGGGCACTATCTTTCAGGGCTGTGCCCCGGCTCAGTGCACTTACTCTGACGGTTCTGCTGCTGTCGCTGAGATAGCCCTTGCTGCGGAGACAGTCGCCGCGGCTGCCGTAGCGCAATTTCGTCCGGGTAAGGGTCGCCGCCCCAAGGCTGGGCGCGGCAGAGGTAGCGGAGGAGGGGGTGGAGGCGGTGGTGGAGGTGGTTCGCCCGCTGATAGTACTGACGAGGGGGCAAGGACTGGTGCCTCGGATCAGCAGCCCCACCAGCAGCAACAGCAGCAGCAGGTGCCGCCGCTGGACCAGCAGCAGCAGCAGCAGCAGTAGCAGCGGCAGGTCGGTCGTCTCTCACCCGGGTGGCCTAGCGCCGGTGGTGGAGGTGGTCGCAGTGGTCGTACGGGCAGCGTGACGTCGTGTGGTGGTCCGAGTGATGGGCGCTGCCAGTACCAGCTCCAGACCGGTCCTCGCCGCAGCCTCGTGTGCGATAAGATCGGCCATACCCTCACTCGTTGTTTCAGTCTCCTAGACGACCTGTTTCGTCTCCGCTTCGGCCAAGCGCCAGACCTCCCCGACTGGCTCAATCTGCTTCGCCGCGCTGTTAGGATCTTTGATATGGACATGGATGAGATTAGCTCTGCTTTGTATGTACTGTATGTCGATGAATCTAGTGTGATTGGTTCCTATTACCCCGTGTTGCCTAGTGTAGGTGTGCCTAGTGTGCCCAGTTCAGACTCCCCTGCTGCGTCAGGCGTAGGATCCCCTGCTTTGTTTAGCCTTGGCTCCACTCTCACTCCTCCGACCCCTGCCGCCACTGCTGCGCTCTCCTTCACCCTAGACTCCGGCACCTCCTGGTGTTTCTTTCGGGACTCCACTTCGCTTACGGCGCTTGCCGCTCCCGCCGCAGTTGCCCTTGCAGACCCTTCCTCAAGTCTTGTATTCGCCCGTAGCTCCACCACCCTTCCCTGTCCGGCGGTTCCTTCGGGCTCCCTTACAGGCCTGCACATCCCCTCGTTCTCTAGGAACCTAGTTGGTGTTAGCTGCCTCCAGAACCTTGGCGTCACCACTACGTTCCCTGGTCACGAGCGGTACGCTGTCAATACCGAGGCCGCCACTGGTGCTCCCTTCACCCCGCTCCCCTGGAACGCGGTATCTGACCTGTTCACACTGGACACCGCGTCCCCCCTGGTTGGGACGTCTCCTCAGGTGTCTGCGTCTACCCAGGTTGCTGCGGCTTGCTCGTGTCGGTCACTTACTCACCCAATGCTTCTGTGGCACCACCGTCTAGGTCACCCTACCCTCACACGTCTTCGTCACATGTCTCAGCACGGTCTTGTCTTAGGTCTCCTTGAGTCGCTCCCCATGCTACCCTCCTCACCAGCGCCGCCGTGCACGCCCTGCGTTGAGGGCAGGCTCCGCTGTGCCCCTTACTCCTCCTCGTTCCCCCCTACCGCCGCACCACTGCAGACCCTGTACATGGACGTCCGGGGCCCCGCCCCTGTCCATGCGCCGCGTCAAGAACACTACTTCCTAGTGCTTGTCGACGACTACACGCGCTACACCACGGTGTTTCCCCTGGAGCGGAAGGCCGACGTGCCTGGCGTTCTTATCCCGTGGTTTGTCTCTGCGCGTGTTCACCGAGGTTTCCCTATGTTGTGTCTTCACTCCGACCGTGGTGGTGAGTTGGCTTCTGGCTGCCTTGGTCGCTTCTGTTATGCGAAGGGCATCACCCAGACGTACACCCTGCCGGACTCCCCTGCAGCCAAAATAGGGTCGCTGAGCGACACATCGGTTTGGTCATGGGGGTGGCTCGTACCTCCATCATTCATGCCGGTGCACCCCATTTTCGATGTTCGCTACGCCGCCCACCAGCTTAACATGTGGCCACACCCTCCTCTGGACCGGGTCTCCTGGTGACGCATCTGCGTTCCACGTCTAGGGCTGCCTTGCTGACGTTCATGCCTCTGGCACGAACAAGCTCACAGCCCGCACCGTCCCCTATGTCTTCCTAGGTTTCCCCCTCGAATCGTCTGACTAGCACTTCTACCACCCACCGTCTCACCGTTTCTTTCACTCTTGCGACGTCACCTTTGACGAGTCCGTCTCCTTCTATCATCGCTTTCCCCACCATGGTCCCCCAGTCACTCCCCCCCTGTTCCTGGTTCCCCCCCCTCCCTCGGTCGCCCCTGCTCCTCCCCCTCCTCACCCTGCCCCGTCTGGTGTGTCTCACGTCACCCCCCTCCCGTCGATCGTCTCTGCCGAGGAGTCTGCTTACTCTCACGGCTCGGCGGAGTCCCTCCCCCCATCCCTCCCCGTCGCGGTCTCTTCTCCCCCATCGCAGCCGTTGCTGTCACCGCCGCTGCCATCGCCGACGTGGCCGCAGCTGCCGTCATCACCGCCGTTGGGGTCCGTGCGTTTTGGGGGTGCTGGGGAGCATGCTGGAGCGGGTACTGGAGCGGGTTCCTGTTCTAGGGGTGCTAGCATGGAGCTTCTCGGAGGGAGCCGTGCTGTTGCTGGAGGTTCTAGTGTTGGATTCGTGTAGCAATCGCAGTAAACGCCGCCGGTATCCGCTCTTCGCCTCCTCGATCTTCCTTCCCCTAGCAGCTTGACGATACCTCCTCTGTCGCTGCCGCCTCCTCCTCCGCCAGTCTATTGCCTGTGTTTCCACCCCCAGACTCCACTCTGGCTCGTTTCCCTCCCCGTTCTCCTCCTGTGTCTCCTCCCCTCTCTCCTGACCCGACTCCTCCGTCTCACGTCTGGTCTCATCGTCCGTCCTGTGCTCGTCCTACCTCCCCTGTTCAGCGGTCTCACCCTATATTGCTTTGCTCCCACGTGTCTCGTGCTCCTCCACTCCTCCAGTCTCCTCCTCCGTCATCGCTTGCTGTCGCCCCGCCCCCGTTCTCCGACTTCCTCCGTACTGCGCGTCCCCTGATTCCTCGTGTCCTTGCCTCTCTTGTTAACGACCCGTCCGTTCCTGTCTCGAGTCTGTCGGCTCTTGTCGCTGCTGTCACTGACTTTGCCTTTACCCGCCACCTTGACTACACCACCGCTCTGGTCTCTGACCCTACATGCCCTCCTTCCGTCGGGGGTGTGGCTGCCCTTGACAGTGACGTCCTAGAAGACAGGCAGTACGAGCTCGCTTTCTTTTCTAAGGCCGCTCCCCATCTCTGTTCCATGCTACTAGTCCCTGATGGGTGACCTTGACGCGCTTGACATCCCGACCCCTCACACCTACGCTGAGGCCACCTCGGGACCCTGGGCCTCTCAGTGGATAGCTTCCATGGAGCAGAAGATGGCATCTTGGAGATCCACCGGTACCTTCGTCGACGCAGTTCCCCCACCTGGGGTGAACGTAGTCGATGGCCGATGGCTCTTCAAGGTGAAGCGCCCTCTTGGAGAGCCGCATGTGTTCAAGGCGTGATACGTGGCTAGAGGCCTCAGCTATCATGAGGGGGTGGACTTCTTTCAGACCATCGCCCCGACCCCGAAGATGACTACTCTTCAGGCGTTGCTACACGTAGCAGCACAGCGTGACTACAAGCTGCACTCCCTCAAATTCTCCACAGCTTTCCTCCAGGGCAGCCTACACGAGCAGGTCTACCTGCGCCGCCCCCAGGGCTTCTCCGTTACCTTTCCCCTTAGTACCAAGTGGCTCCTCCGGCACCCCGTCTACGGCTCGCAACAGGCGCCCCGTCAGTGGCACGACACGCTGCGTGCTACACTTGCTGACATGCAGTTCTTCCCTTCGTCTGCAGACCCCTCGCTCTTCGTCCGTTCCGGCCAGACTCCGTTCTACGTCCTTGTTTACAGAGGCGCTGCTACTGCTGACAGAGGCGCGCTGGCCTCAGTGAAGGCCGAGTTGCTGAGGAGACACACGTGCATTGACCTAGGAGAGCTGCGCCGCTACCTTGGCTTGCAGATCTTGAGGGACAGAGCAGCGTGCACCATCACTCTTACAAAGTCTCACTTGGTGCGCCAAGTCCTTCAGAGGTTCGGCCTTCAGTTCTCTTCCGCACAACCCACCCCTTTGCCAATACACTACAGACTCTCTGCTCTAGTCGCGAAAGAGGCTGTAGAGCCTATTGGTCCCTACGCTTAGCTGGTGGGTTGCCTCATATACCTGATGACTTGCACTCGTCCAGATCTCGCATAACCTCCCAGCATCCAGGCTCGCTTTGTGGCCACCGGCAGACACCGACCACAGCACTGGTCGGCCGCTAAGAGGGTTTTGCGTTATCTAGCAAGTACATCGGGCATGGGGCTAGTGGTAGGAGGACGTAAACCAGTAGTCCTTACCGGGCACACAGACGCTTCTTGGGCATATGATGCCGAGACTCTCAGGTACTCCCAGGGCTACTGCTTTAGCCTTGGTGGAGGTGCCATCTCGTGGAGGTCCACTCACCCCTCGTCTATTGCCCAGTCTAGCTGTGAGGCTGAGATCTACGCCGCTGTTGCTCTTATCTTGTTTGTACTCGTTTGACTGGCCTTTAGACCCTTGCCTCAAAGGCTGGACTAGTAGTGCCACCCTGAGTTGTTTCTCTCTTATCGGGCACTGCCCCTATCCAGTCTAGGGGGTGTGTCCAACATATCCTTGTATATTGTTATAGACTATACAGGGTTGTGCCTTAGAGAGTACATCCCACTAGGTTATATTCCATTGTATGCCACGGTTCTAGTCATTCGTTAACTTTGATAGTGCTGCCCTGGTTTGCTCTTGTCTTGTTTGTACTCTTGCTGATTGGTCTTCGGACCCCTGCCTCAGAGGTTGGACTAGTAGTGCAACCCTGAGCTGCGTGTTCCTTGCTCTGCACTGCCCCTTATCTATCCTAGGGGGTGTGTCATTTTATACATATGTTTATGTGTAGAAGTTATGGACTATATAGGTGTGTGTTCTTAGAGGGTACAACTCCAACCCTACATCTCCTTTGTTCTCACATGTTTCTAGTCATTCTTGTATTCTAACTGTCTTGTTTGTACCCTTGCTGACTGGTATTCGGACCCTTGCCTCAGAGGCTGGACTAGTAGTGCCACCCTGAGCTTCGTGTCTCTTGCCAGGCGCTGCCCTTTGTCTAGCCTAGGGGGTGTGTCAACATATATGTTTGTATCACTATATGTTTATAGGCTAGCTAGGAGCATACCAGGCCCCCAAATTGCAGACTTTTCACAGTGATTCAGACCTTTTTCATGCATTTTTTGGGGGTGTACTCTGATTGCCTTACTCTGATTTTTCTGAGTACCTTACTCTGATTTTTCTGAGAAGATTTACGTACCTACGCTGAATTTTCAGACTTTTTTTACTAGTGTACTCTGATGCCTCAGCCCTATATGGGGAGTAGACTCTGATTCCTCGTAATACCGTGATTGGGGGGGAGCATGATTTTCGCTGGAACCCCTGTGGAGGGCGCAGACTGGCACTTGGCCAAAATCAAGGAGGGCGTGATTCTTGCGAGAGGCTCTGTCAGGGCGCTATACGGCCCTTTACCAAATTCAAAGGCCAATGTGTATTGGGGGCTGTGTGAGGGAGCTGACTGGCCCTTCACCACAATCACCTAGTTTGTACTCGAGGCGGTGTGAGGGGCCGACCGATTGGCCCTTGGCGAGATTTGTCATTGTGTGCCACGGCCTGTGTGTGCGAGGGCACCCATTGGCCCTTCACGAGATTTCCCTCGCTGCAATTTTGCTTCGCCCGCCCCAGTTCGTTTCCTCCCCCGATTTCGTCCCGCACATGCCATTCGTCACGACCAGTCCACCCTGTTAACGTAGAAACGAATGATTACTAGAGGTGGAAACCTAGAACAAATACTAGTTGGTTGTACTCACTAGAAGCTTACCTCAGTCTAGCCTATAACTTCTACATAGATAATATGTATAAGTTGACACACCCCCTAGGCTAGACAAGGGGTGAAACTAAACAAGAAGCAAACAGCTCAGGGTGGCACTACTAGTCCAGCCACTGGAGGTAAGGCCACAAGGCCAGTCTGACAAGCATATATAATAGAGAGTACACAATCAGGATCCTAACAGGGGAGCAGCTACAGGAACAAGACCAAGCTGTACACAGTGCCGCTGATGATCTTTAGGCGCAAGCGCCTTAGTAAAGATATCAGCTGTGTTGGCACCTGAGGCCAAGTGAACTACGCGGGCCTGGCGGCGCTGCTGTAGCTCGCGCAGGAGGAAGTACCGCAGCTGGATATGCTTCGCTCTGCCCTCAAGCCGAGGCTCCTGACACAGGAGTATCATGGCCCTGTTGTCAGCGTACAGGACCGGGGCAGAGCTAGGCCGCTCACCTAAGTCTGTGAGCAAGAAGGTCAGCCAGCGGAGCTCCTGTGCCGCCATGGCACCAGCGTAGATCTCAGCCTCACAGCTAGACTGAGCCACAGACGACGAGCGAGTGGATCTCCAAGAGATAGCACCCGAACCAAGGCTGAAACAGTAGCCCTGCGACGACCTGAGCGTCTCAGCGTCGTCTGCCCAAGAAGCGTCTGTGTGCCCAGTAAGGACCACTGGCCTGCGTCCTCCTAGCACTAACCCCATGCCTGATGTACTAGCAAGATAACGCAAAACCCTCTTAGCGGCAGACCAGTGCTGAGGTCGGTGTCTGCCTGTAGCCACAAAGCGAGCCAGGATGCTGAGAGGGTATGCGAGATCTGGGCGAGTGCAAGTCATCAGGTACATGAGGCAACCCACCAGCTCTGCGTAGGGGCCACTGGGCTCTACTGGCTCCTCAGGAACGGGAGCAGAGAGCCCATGGTCTACGGGTAGAGGTGTGGGCTGTGCAGAGGAGAACTGAAGACCGAACCTCTGAAGGACCTGACGCACCAAGTGTGACTGGGTCAGAGTGATGGTGCGTGCTGCTCTGTCCCTAGAGATCTGCAGGCCAAGATAGCGACGCAGCTCTCCAAGGTCAGTGCAGGTGTGTCTCTTCAGCAGCTCAGCCTTCACAGAGGCCAGTGCGTCCCTGTCAGGAGTAGCGAAGACCAGGTCGTCTACGTAGACAAGGATGTAGAACGGAGTCTGGCCGGAACGCACAAACAGTGAAGGGTCAGCAGAGGACGGAAAGAACTGCAGGTCTGCTAACGTGGCACGTAGCGTGTCGTGCCACTCGCGGGGAGCCTGACGCAGGCCGTAGACCGGGCGCCTGAGAAGCCACTGGGTCCCAGGAGGGAAGGTACCAGTGAAGCCCTGTGGTCGGCGCAGGTAGACCTGCTCGTGTAGGCTGCCCTGAAGAAAGGCAGTAGAGAAGTCGAGGGAGTGAAGCTCGTAGTCACGCTGTGCTGCTACGTGTAGCAGCGCCCGAAGAGTGGTCATCTTCGGGGTCGGGGCGAAGGTGTGGAAGAAGTCAACCCCCTCGCGCTGACTGAAACCTCTGGCCACGTAGCGCGCCTTGAAGACAGGCGGCTCTCCAGGGGGGCGCTTCACCTTGAAGAGCCACCGACCATCGACTACGTTCACCCCAGGCGGGGGAACTGCGTCGACGTAAGTGCCGGTGGATCTCCAAGATGCCATCTCCTGCTCCATGGCAGCTATCCACTGAGAGGCCCAAGGTCCCGAGGTGGCCTCAGCGTAGGTGCGAGGGGTCGGGATGTCGAAGGCGTCTGGGTCACCCTCAGGGACTAACAGCATGGAGCAGAGATGGGGAGCAGCCTCGGAAAGGAAAGCCAGCTCGTACTGCCTGTCCTCTAGGACGTCACTGCCAAGGGCAGGAGCACCCCCGACGGACAGAGGACGGGCAGGGTCAGAGACCAGAGCGGTAGCGTAGTCAAGGCGGCGGGTAGAGGCGAAGTCAGCGACAGCAGCGACAAGCGCGTCAAGGCGCGAGACAGGAACAGCAGGGTCGGTAACAAGAGAGGCAAGGACCCGAGGGACAAGGGGACGAGCAGCACGGAGGTAGTCAGAGAACGGAGGAGGTGCAACAGCAAGGGACGAGGGAGGAGGGGACGGGAGGAGGGGAGGACGAGACGAGTGGGAACGGAGCAACATAGGGTGGGTGGGCAGGACAGGAGAGACGGGACGAGCACGGGAGGGACGGCGAGCCCAAACGTGAGACGGAGGGGTAGGGTCAGGGGACAGCGGAGGAGACACAGGAGGGGAACGAGGAGGAAGACGGGCCGGAGACGAGTCTGGCGGCGGGAACACAGGACCGTAGACAGGAAGGTCAGGAGGCGGTGGGGGAGACACCGGCGCGCGGTCCGGGGAGGGAAGGCCGAGCAGGCGGAGAGCGGAAACCGGCGGCGACGGCTGCTGCGGCGGCGACGACGGCTGGGCCGGAACTCTCGGACCAGCAGAGGCAGAACGACCGTCGGCAGAACACTCAACAGCAGCACCCCCAGAACCAGCACCCCCAGAGCGAGAACCCCCTCCAACACCAGCGGCACCCCCAGAAGCCGCAGGACGAACACCCTCCTCCACACCAGCACCCCCAGGGGCCGAGAGCAGCGGCGGCAGTGGCGGCAACGGCTGCGGCAGCGGGGTCGGCGACTGCGACAGTGGGGGCGGAGGCACCGGGGAAGGGGGACGCTGCAAGGACGGACCGGGGGTACCACCAGAGTCAGCAGACTCCTCAACGGGGACAACCGACGGGAGGGGAGTGACGTGGGAGACACCAGACGGGGCAGGACGAGGCGGGAGAGGGGCAGGGGCTACCGGGGGAGAGGGAGCAAGGAAAAGGGGGGGGGCAACTGGGAGACCTCGGTGAGGGAAGCGGCGGTAGAAGGAGACGGACTCGTCAAAGGTGACGTCACGAGAGTGGAGGAAGCGGTGAGACGGCGGGTGGTAGAAAAGCCAGTCAGACGAGTCCAGGGGGAAACCGAGGAAGACACAGGGGACAGTGCGGGCAGTGAGCTTGTCCGTGCCAGAGGCACGAACGTGAGCAAGGCAGCCCCAGACGTGGAACGCAGACGCGTCACCGGGGGACCCGGTCCAAAGGAGGGTCGGCGAAACCTGCGGCCGCTGGGAGCGTGGCCACAGGTTAAGCTGGTGAGCCGCGTAGCGAACAGCGAACGGCCACAGAAAATGGGGGGCATCGGCATGGATCATGGAGGTACGGGCGACCTCCATGACCAAGCCGATGCGGCGCTCAGCAACCCCATTCTGCTGTGGCGAGTCCGGCAACGTGTACGACTGGGTGATGCCCTCCGCACGACAGAACTGTCCAAGCCGACCAGAGGCGAACTCGCCGCCACGGTCGGAGTGGAGACACAACACGGGGAGACCGCGGTGGAGACGCGCAGCCACAACCCACGGGAGAAGAACGTCGGGCACGTCGGCCTTCCGCTCCAGGGGAAACACCGTGGTGTAGCGCGTGTAGTCGTCGACGAGCACAAGGAAGTAGCGCTCACCGCGCGGTCCGGGGACGGGGGCAGGGCCCCAAACGTCCAAGTGCAGGGTCTGAAGGGGGGCAGTAGCAGGACGCAGCGAGGAGGAGTGAGGAGCACGGCGGAGCCGACCCTCGACGCAAGGCGTGCACGGTGGCGCAGTCGAGGGAGGAAGGGCAGGGAGCGACGCGGGGAGACCTAAGACAAGACCGTGCTGGGACATGTGACGCAGACGCGGGAGAGCAGGGTGACCTAAGCGGTGGTGCCAGAGAAGGGAGGGGTGAGTGAGGGACCGACACGAGCAAGCTGCAGCGACCTGGGAGGACGCACCAACCGGGGGGGAAGCGGTGTGTAGGGTAAACAGACCGGACACCGGGTCCCGGGGGAACGTCGCAAGGGGGGAACCTGAGACAGCCTCAGAACAGACAGCGAACCGCTCGTGCCCGGGGAACGTGGTGGTGACGCCGAGGTCCTGGAGACAGCCGACACCAACCAGGTTCCTGGAGAACGAGGGAACGTGGAGGCCAGTAAGGGAGCCCGAGGGAACTGCCGGACAAGGAAGGGACGTAGAACTGCGCGCGACGACCGGACCCGCAGAGGGGTCAGCGAGAGAGACAACAGCAGGTGCAGCAAGCGGCGTGAGCGTGGAACGGTCGCGGAAGAAGCAGGCAGAAGCACCAGAGTCGAGAGTGAAGGACAGCGACGCAGTGGCGGAGGCCGGGGACGGAGCAGGTGCAGCGACTAGACTAGGCAACCTAGGCAGTCCTACGCCTGTCGCAGCAGGGGAAGCTAAGCTACACAAGGGTGAAACACCTAAACTAGAGTACACAGGGTAGTAAGATCCAGCAACACTAGAAGCGTCAGCATACAAAGCATGCAAAGCAGCACCTATCTGATCCATGTCTAACTCAAAGATCGGCACGCCCTGGCGGAGTAGGCTGTGCCAGTCAGGGAGGTCCGGGGCCGGGCCAAAGCGACGACGAAAAAGATCGTCGAGGCGGCGGAAACAGCGGGCGGTCGGGTGCGGGCGGCGGCACAGAGTGCCGCGGAGAGGCCCGGTCTGAAGCTGGTACTGGCAGGTCACAGCACTGGAGCCGCTGGTAGACGCCAAGCTGCGCGGGCCGCCACCACGGCCACCGCCTCCGGAGGTGCCGGGCCAACCAGGCGGGAGACGAGCCCACGGCTGCGGCGGGTGCTGCTGGGACGGCGGCTGCGGCTGGGGCTGGTCCTGCTGCTGCTGGGGCTGCTGCTCCTGCCCACCGGTGGTAGTCCCCTCAGGCGGACTACCGTCACCACCACCACGACCACTACCACCTGCGTCACCACCCCTACCTCCGTGGCGGCCACGGCCACCGCGACGCGAGCGCTGCTGCGGGTGGACAGCAGCAGCCGTCTCGGTAAGAGGGGTCGCCGTGGCGACCGCAGCCGAAACGTCAGTGAACGTGCACTGGGATGGGGCACAGCCGTGAAAGATAGAGACTGCCGGCGCACCGCTCGACTGAGCGATAGTGCGCTGGCGAGTCTCGATCTCAGTGAGGGTGTCGACAAAGGCGGTCAGGGTGAGGTCACCCGGGTGCTGGCTAAGAAAGTGGTCGCGAGCACTAGCGAGGCGGTCTGGCAGGCGCATAGCGATAAAATAGAGCGTCATGCAGAAAGGAGGGGGGAGCGCAGTGAGCTGGGCAGCAGTGCTGGCAGTGCGATAGCGAGTCTCTAGGGCACGCAAATGAGTGGCAAAGTCTGCGACAGTAGGGAAGGCAGCCAGGTCTGGGAACAGCATCGGAAAGAGCAAGCGGCCAGCAGAAGCGGAGGCAGGGGTGGAATAGCGAGCAATAACGGCGTCTAAATAAGCTTTGGCCGTTTCAACAGTAGCAAAACGCGAGCGCTCAGACACAGGGAGGGCGTGACTAATAGCAACCTGAGCTACTGCATCGCGTGAGTCCCAGACCGCACAGGCCAGCGCAGCAGTAGAGAAAGCCTCACGGTCATCAGAGGAGGGGTCAGCAGGGAGGGGAGTAGGTGCAGGGGGACGGGGGAGCAAGCCATCAGCATGGACAACCAGAGAGTGGCCATCCTGGCGCTGACCTGTAAGCTGGCGGCGGAGATCGGAGAGCCAGGCGGCGAAGTCAACCGCGTGGCCCTCAGCGTCCAGGCGGAGCACAAAGTCAGCCATCGTGCAGGGTCAGCGGCACAGCTCCTCAGCGACACAGCGGCACAGCAGCACAGCTCCTCAGCGGCACAGGAGCACAGCGGCGCGGGGACACGGCGGCAGCACTCTCCAGTAGGGCAGCAGCTAGGCGTCCCAGCGCAGGCGAGCAGAAGACACAGGGCCCGAGAGGACACGGCAGGCCGAGCAGGGGAGGCGGGCAGGTGCTCTGGGGCCGGGCTGGTGCTGGGAGGGGCCAGGCTGGTGCTGCTGGGGCCGGTCGGGCACGAGGAGGGGCCGGGCAGCGCTGAGGAGAGGCCGGGCGGCGCTAGGAAGGGGCCGGGCGGCACTAGGAGGAGGCCGAGCGGCACTAGGAGGCCAGGCAGGCGAGCGCTAACAGCAGGCGCGACAGGGGCCAGCGGGCGCGACGAGGCCTAAGGGGCGCGACGGGGCCCAGCGGGCACGACGGGGCCCAGGGGGGCGCGACGGGGCCGAGGAGGCGCGACGGGGACCAGCGGGCACGACGGGGCCCAGGGGGGCCGCGACGGGGCCTAACGGGCGCGACGGGGCCCAGGGGGGGCGCGACGGGGCCTAGCAGGCGCGACGGGGCCTAGGAAGCGCGAAGGGGCCCAGCGGGTGCGACGGGGCCTAGGAGGCGCGACAGGGCCCAGCGGGCGCGACGGTGCCCAGAGGGGGCGCGACGGGGCCTAGGAGGCGCGACGGGGCCCAGCGGGCACGACAGGGCCTAGGAGGGGCGCGACGGGGCCGAACGGGCGCGACGGGGCCCAGAGGGGGGGGGACGCGACGGGGCTTAGGAGGCGCGACGATGCCTAGGAGGCACGACGGGGCTCAGCGGGCTCGACGGGGCCCATGGGGGCGCGACGGGGCCTAGGAGGCGCAACGGGGCCCAGCGGGGGCGCGTTAGGGCCTAGGGGTCGCGACGGGGCCCAGCAGGCGCGACGGGGCCCAGGGGGAGCGCGACGGGGCCTAGGAGGCGCGACGGGGCCCAGCGGGCACGACGGGGCCCAGGGGGGGCGCGACGGGGCCTAACGAGCGCGACGGGGCCCAGGGGGGGCGCGACGGGGCCTAGGGGGCGCGACGGGGCCTAGGAGGCGCGACGGGCGGAAGCGGTAGGCGGGGGGATCCTAACCTAAGCGTGATACCATGTTAACGTAGAAACGAATGATTACTAGAGGTGGAAACCTAGAACAAATACTAGTTGGTTGTACTCACTAGAAGCATACCTCAGTCTAGCCTATAACTTCTACATAGATAATATGTATAAGTTGACACACCCATCCTCGTCGTCAGGTGGCACGTGAAATTTGCGCGACCGGGTCTTAGGTGGCGTGGCGCGACGGTTCGCTTTCGTCAGCACACAAATATGACATTCATTTACATGTGACCACGGCTTTAAAATCAACGTCTGAAAATAATGGTGACTCTGATTGATCAGACAAAAAATCTATTGTTAGTCTGATTTTTCAGACTTTTTTTTAGGGGCAACTCTGATGGCCATACCAAGGGATGGCAGGCAAGTCTGACGAATCATACAACCCCAAAACCAATGTGGGGGCCTGGAGCATACCATAGAGAGTACATCACTTAGAACAAAACTACCCTGTATGCCTATTCTAGTCAACTCGTTACCTTGAATAAATTGCTTCAGACAAATTCAAATATCTCTTGCGTGCTGCCTAGACAAATGCCGTGCGTGCTGCTCGGCGCGATTGCTTGTCGTACACCACGTCAAATAGGTCAACCAGCTCGTTTATAGTGCTGTTGTGGTAACAGTTACGTCACGGGGGGGATGGGAAACAGTGTGTCAGATATCATGTAGAGGAGGATGCGGTCAGCCGTGGCAGCCCAGAGAAATAGATTGGAGATCAAGAACGACAACCAAAAAGGCGGGGATGGCAGCAGGAGCAAGAGCGTGCATCTGCAAATTTGACATAGCATGTCTGCACGTATATGTGGATAACGAAGGGGTGAGGAACAGTGTGGACAAGGGAGGGAGGGGCAGAGAAGGGAGAAGAGAGAGGGCAGGAGGGACAGGTAAGGGAGAGAGGGTTTAGGGGGGGGAGGGAGGGAGGTTGGCTTCTGGGGAGATTGGCAATGGAGAGGAGCATACTTTGTTGATTTTGTGATGCTGGCAAGGTATGTCATTAGGAGTGTGTCGTTGAATTCCTGAGGCAGAGCACAGACAAAGACAAATACAGAAACAGACACGGACAAGGACACGGACACAGGCATAGACAAGGAAGGGTAGAAATAGGTGAACGGCAAGAAAGATGGGAGGGAGGGTCAGAGAACAGCTCAGTAGGAAGGCCAACAATTGCGAAGGAAAGGGAATGAGAATGTCAGAAAGGAAACAAGGTGGAGGTAAGAAGAAAACACAAAGGTGGAGGGAAGGGAAGTAGACTGACGGAAAGGAAAAGAAGAAGATGGGATGGGGAGGCGGAGGTGTGAGAAGAATGGGCGTTCTCTTTCCCTTGTGGGGGAGAAGAAGGAGGAGAGGGGAAGGGGAGGCGGAGGTGGGTGGGTGGGTGGGAGGGCGCACGGTGAGAAAGTGGCGGTGGAAGCGGTCGGAGTCGACAGCTGGCAGCCTTCGAATGAGGCTGGACACCTGGCGGGTCACCGAGTGGTCGTACGGCACTGCGCCTGGGGAAGGGAGAAGGGGGGGGGGGGGCAGAATAAGGGAATTCAGGGAGGACGGGGGGGACGGCGGAGAAAAGGTTGTGACTGGGGGAAGGAGAACTGGGAAAGGAAGGGGGTTGGGGGGAGGGAGAGGATGGAGAAGGGAAGACTGTCAGGGAGGAAGGCGTGGGGAAGTGAGGGCAAGTGTGACGAGACCTGGTGCTGATGGATGCAGCACGATGAATGCAGCGCAGAGGTTTAAGTGTGGTGGGTGCAGTGTGTAGAGTGTGGGAAGCCCGCAAGTGGATGGGCAGCGTGTAAGGTTGCCTTGGGATTTCGTTGCAGAAGAAAGAGTTGGGTGGAGAATTAAGTGTTGGACAGAAAAAGGAGTTTTTGGTTGTTGGGTTGAAGCATGAGGTGGGTACCAGATTCCATGGCGGCTAGATGGCTGTGCAGTAGTCTGACTCGCGTTGTCAGCATCTTGATCGCACTGTGCATCCCTGTTAGGTGCGCTGCCACTGCCATGTGCGCATGGGCACACACGTGGGCACACAGAAAGACACCAAGACACGCACATGCAGGCCCGTGCACACACACAGGGGCAGCGAACAAGACATGGCATAGCACAAACTTAAGAAGATTGTGCGGCTAGGAAAAAAGAAAGTGTGAATACTCAATCGTGTGCATATCACGCATGTGAGCAGCAGAGCACGGGCCAGCAGCATGGCCCGGCATCCCTATCGCCTCACAGTGAGTGGCAGCAGAGCTGCCATCCGAGGGCTTGATGTGTGCCACGTGGTCCACTGATATGCGCTCTGCTTCCACCGTCTGTCGGGCTCACTCACCCACCCACACACACGCAGACAGATACATGCAGACACAAACACACACACACACGCACACATGCTCGGACCACACACACACACACACACTCAGACACACAGATCAAGATAAGCATGCATATAAGGTTGGTTTTGAGACGTCTCAAAACCAACCTTATATCACGTGGCAGGACAAGGCGAGAGAGCGAGAGGGGAAGAGAGCGAGAGATGAGGTGCGGGAGATGGGGGGTGGGTGGGGGGGAGAAGAATGTGGTGTTAGGGAGGAGGGGAGGCAGGCAGGGAAGCAAGGGGATACCCCAAGGGATAAAACGAGAAGCAAGTCCTTCACACGATGCGATGGACAATACAGCAGGTAAAGCCCGCGGTGGCTGGCACTCAACGGTGATGCCCGAAAATGAAACAAGGGCGAGCAGCAGGGTGTTGGTGGTGGTGGTGGTGGTGGTGGTGGTGGTGGTGGTGGTGGTGGGGAGTGGTAAGCATGCCTCGATGGTGTAGGTGGAGGAGACGAAGATGAGGGAGGGCACCCCATCGATCACATGCAGCTCTGATGCACGCACGCACAGCCATGACGCATGGGGGGCGAGGGGGGGGGGGGGAGGGAGTGGCAGAAGAGATGGACAGGTGGATGAACATGGGCGAAACGTGCCAAGGCAAGGCACAAGCACATGGAAGGATGGGTGAGGCAGGCAGCTCGCAGGGAGGGGGGGGGGGGGGGGAGAGGAGGGGGGTGTGGGGGGTTGGGTTGGGGCGTACCGCTTTCGAAGATGGAGATGGGTAGGTCCTTGCCAGCGGGGTTGATGGCTGGGTTGAGCAGCAGGTAGATGGGGCTCTCGTTGATGTCCATCAGCTGCACGTGGCGCATGCACACGGTGCATGCATGCAGGGAGGAGGGAGGGATGGATGGACAAGAAGGCGTATGCACAGTAATGGTGCATGAAGTTTCTTGGGTGGGGTGCATGGGGTGCATGGGGTGCATGAGGTCTCACCGCCTTGTGCACGTGCATGTCGGCGGCGCACACGTCCGTGCCCGTGGAGTACCACCCCAGCACGTCGTACTTGGGGAACACCTTCTTGTCTGTGCGCGCAGCGGCGGCGCGCACGTACGCGGGGGAAGCGGAGAGGGGGAGCGGAAAAGGGAGGAAAAGGGGGAGGGGGGGGTGGAAGGTAGAGTGTGGGTCTAGGCTGAAGAAAGGGAGAACGACCCCAGCGAGTCATGCTTAGGTAAAAACCTTCTTGTCTGCGCGCACGCGCGCACAGAGGGGGAACGGACAGGGGGAGCGGAAAGGGGAGGAGGAGGGGGAAGGGGATGGGGAGGGGGAGGGGGGTGAGGAATAAGAGGGGGAGCGGGAGGGTGAGAGGAAGGTGGAGTGTGAGTCTAGGCTGAGGGAAGAGCGCACTGGCAGAGGCAGGAGTTTTTGGACCATGGCAACGGCATAGCACGCATGCGAGCGGCTGTTCAGATGATAAGATCAGGCCGTTCTTGAGAATCCTTCTCAAAGAATTCTCTAAGATACGGAACGCGATGGAGGCCTGCCAGGGTTAAGCGAATGCCACGCGCCGAGCTGCGATGCTCGCTGCTGACCCGTCGCGCTGCGATGCTCGCTACTGCGATCGGAGCGCGCCATGGGATGCTTCTAAGCCGGTCCTCTAGTACTCATCCTTATATCGCGTACACTGTTCCATCTTGGTAGTGAGGAAACTCCGGTCAATGACGATTTCAGCCTCGCCCGAGCCGCCATCCATGGCTTCTCGCGGATTGCTGCTGCTCCCGGCGCCGTCGCCGCCTCGAGCCTCGTAGATTACCTCGAAGGAGTTAAAGATCTCCACAACGCGGCCCGACTGCACGCCGAGGAGGCACCCTACAACGCGCGAGGGCACGCCTCGTTGCTGCGCTTTAACGCGCGTGTAGTGATCCGACATGTTGACTATAACGAGCGGGTGAAGCTTGAAGGTGAGGCCGCTAGACGACGACATGGCGGCGGACAGGGACACGAAACGAGGCAGCACCGGTGCTCGCGCTGCGAGAAATAGGAGAACAGTGCTGTGCTGTGCTGTGCTGTGATCGAAAGGAGAAGAGCGGAAAGCGCGAGCGGAAAATTGAAGTCGAGACCCTCTAAAGGAAACGCGACAACGGGAGCCGACCTCGATGGCTAGGTGGCAACTACGCGGCAGTTCCAGCGGATTTGACGGAGGCGACGAACTGGGTGAAGAGGAGGTATTTGCCTTGGGAGACACGGTGTACTCGTTTCAATATCATTTTTCTGTCCCCTCCAGCAGCAACCCCTCCCGATAAGATATAGGACCTCAATGAATTTCAGCACATCATGACTTCGGATACATAATCTCAATTGTTGTATTGCATCAATTGTGTAACCAAGCGATACCTCAGAACTGTGAGACTTGAATCCCAACGTCTGCGCAGCACTATGCATGGACAAAGCAAAACGCTCGAGTCAGTCACAAAAGGTGACTTAAACATGCAATCCAAACAGCACTTTTAATCCACGCCAGAAATTTGTCTAAGGGAAAGCAGAACACACAAAGGTTGGCCAATCCACCATCAGTGCCATGATTTTACCTCCCCTGCCCCTAGAGCCTCTGCAGCAGTGCCAGCCACAAGCTACACACTATGCTTAGCGCTCCTCAACAATGCAACGCACGCACACACCTGCTACTAGCCTGTGCAAGCATGCCAGCACACACACATCCTCCCTCCTCCCCTCTCACCCGCCTACAGACTGACCTGCAGGCCAGCATTGTGCCAGCCAGCCGGCCAGAACACGTGGTGTCTGCAACAAGTAGTCTAGCAACTCCCAGACCTCTCTTGCTTCCACCCTCCCTCACTCCTCCTGCGCTCGCCAGACACCGCCCATCTAGGTTGCCGTCTTCAGTCCTATTGGCCTCCAAGTCAGCAGCCAGTAGCAGTGCCAATCCAACTGCACACATCCCCAACCACCAACTGACCACACCTGCGCCCCCCACCTCAAGCCAGCAGAGCAGGCAGGGGCAGCAGCGGCGCATTCAGGCGTCTAGGCCAGAGTGGGGAACTGGGACTGGTCCAGGGGCGGGGCCTCTGCCCCCCGCCCACCATAGCCGCGCCCGCCGCCGCCGTAGCGACCGCCGCCGCGGCCCCTGCCGCCCCCGCGCTGGTTGCGGTAGTGGAAGGTCTGGCCTTCTGCGGGCTTGAGGAAGTCGTTGATGTTGACTGCCTTGGGACGGTCCTCATCCTTCTTCCTCGCCGCCTTCTCCTTCTCCGCTCCCTGCACAGCGCGCCGCACACACACACAACACACACGTGACGCACGGGCACGCACAGAGCCAGGGACAGGAGCACGTGGAGAGGGGCAAAGATGAGAACAGCGCAACCAAGGAAGACGGGCAGCAAGGACGGACGGACTAGTCAGAAACACAGGGCAGAAGCGTTCAACCCTTCTCGTTACCCGGTCTAACCTTCACATTCCGCTGCCCATCATAACCCACACCCCAAGCTACACCACGCTTCCCCCGTCCCTCCCGTCTCTCCCTAGGCCAGCGAACCGCACTGACGGACTGAACGCACTGACAGCACTCGCGGCAGTGACGGCAGTGGCGGCACTGACGGCCTAAAACGCCCTCTCTGACAGCCACTGACGGCCACTGATGGCCACTGACGGCCACTGATGGCCACTGACAGCCACAAACGGCCACTGACCAGCTTGACGAAGACATCGTCGCCGTCGGGCTTCTTCTTGAGCGTCATCTTGGCCATCTCCTCGTCCAACTCCACCACGCGCGCCGCCGCCTTGGACGCCGCCAGCGCCTTGCGCTTCTCCTCCAGCACCTTCTCGTACTCCTCCAGCGTCATTTGCTGCCACCACGCGCGCAGGGGACGTGGGGGGAGGAGGAGAAGGGGGGGGGAGAGCGGGGCGGGGCGGGGCGGGGCCGGGGAGAACGACGGGGGCGAGGAACACCAGAATGTCGGAGGGACGGGCGAAGATGATTACCTGGGTGCAGAGGCAGGATCGGGAGTGCACAGCGGCGGAAATAGAATGGCAACGCACAAAGGGGAATGCATATCGATATTGACGGACTTACCTTCTCCTCCTCCTCCTTCTCCTTCCTCGCAGCTTCCTGGGCAGCAAGCTCCTCCTCAGTCAGCACAGGGGGCTCCGGAGCTGCGACCTCCGCCGCCGCCTCCGCCGCCTCGCCCGCGCCCTCCGCCTTCGGCTCCGCCTCCGCCGACGCGGGCGCGACAGACTCGCTGGAGCGGGGGAGGGGGGAGGGCGCACAAGCACGGGGCGGAGATTAAGAGCAGGGCGAGCAACATCGCAGCGCGGAGGAAGGACGATAAAGCGAGACAAGCGAGTACCATGAGAACTACTGGAGATACAGGGGAGAGGGCAAATGCAGCAGCAATGATGCACGGCCGGAAGAGGCTACGATGCGGTGAGGGGTCAGGAGGGCGCTAGGAACGACCGGCAGCGAGCCCAGCGAGGTTTGAAGAAAGAGTAAGCGACGAGCGGAGCGGAGAGAAGAGGAGAGGAGACTAGGGGAGAGGAGAGTAGACGGAAGGAGGAGAAGGGGAGGCTGCATTACTCGAGGTACTCGCCCTCCCTGCCCCAGTTGCCGCGGCCAGCGCCCTCGCGCTTGATCTCCCTGCACGCAGCACGGGGCGGAGGGAGACCGCGGAGGCGCACTGAGCAACGGGGCGGAATGGCAAGCAAGAGACGGCTCGGCAACACTCGGCTCGGCAAAGCTGGGCTCGGCTAGACGGGGAGACGCGACACGGATGGTGAAAGCGGGAGGGGAAGCGAGCGGGAGGTAGCTTCTATCTTCTATCCGCATTAGCATCCAATGCACCAAAAGAGGCAGCCACCCTACCCGTTCCCCCTCCCTCCGCCCCATCCCCAACCTCAGCCCCCTTGCTGCCACCAACGCTCATATTCCCCCACGCACCCGCCACGGCCAGTGCCGCTCATGCGGTCGAACTCGCGGTGCGGACGGCGCTGGCCCCCGTCGCGCCCGTAGCCGCGACCGCGCCCCCCCCTTCCGCCGCCTCTCCGCAGGTCGCTGTGGCCGTGCTGGTCGAACGACGAGCGGATCTCGCCGTCCTCCCCGCGCACCTGGCGCTCCGTGATAAACGCGCGGCCATTGTCACGCGGCTCGTTGAACGTCTGGTAGTCGCCGCCACGCCCGCCATATCCGCCGCGACCGCCGCCGCGACCTCCGCCGCGGCTGAAGCCGGAGCGAGCAGGTGCAGTGGTAGCAGCAGCAGGCTTGGCTAAGATGTAGAAACGGGGGGGAAGGGAGGGAGGGAGTGAAAGAAAGAAGCCGGACATTGAGGTCAGCAGATCGAGAACCATTGACCAGGAGAGCTGAGATTCTTGAAATAAGTCGGCGGTGGATACAGCTTTGAGGAGAACACGGAGTATGGAAAGAAGCTAAGTGAGGGAGAATAACGAGCACACGAAGCAGGAAACCGAGGGAAGGGAAAACGAAAATCCTGAATGAGACGGCAAAAGAAACACGACAAGAGTAAGGTTCAGACGCCCGTGTTACCAGCAGCAGGGGCGGGCTTGGCGCCTTTAGCGCCAGCCTTCTTGCTCGCGTCGACCTTCACAGGTTCGGCGGCGACGCGAGACAGCAGGGCCTGGGGATCGTCGTTGTCGTCTCCATCGAGCAGCGCGAAGGGGTTTTGCGTCGCCATTGCACTCCTGCTCTACCTTCCCGAACGCTCACAGTACGGCGGTGGCGCGAGACACGGACCAGTTAGTGCACGCGAGCCATGCACGGCCGCGTTATTTAGGGGGCTCTAAGAAGTAAAACACTGCTTAGTAGCCTGCGCTAGGGTGCCTAATCAACGGAATGTCGCCACGTAAGACAACGGCGAGATTCTGTGGTGACTGGTAAGCAAGGAAAGAGACCGAGATATCAGGTGCTACCGAGGAGGCAGCGAAAGAAAGTAAGGAATGAAGGAGAGGAGACCAAAAACCCTCGCCGCCTCCTCTCTCGCTTCCTCCGCCCTCCCCCTTCCGCCGTCGCGAAAACAAATCCCGAAGGGCACACCCGTTCTGCTCTTCCGCTCCCCGCAAAAACCCCGCTCTCCCCTCACTATCCGCTGCCTCACTGCCTTCATATTTCCCCCCTTACCTCCGCCGCTCCGCATGACTACCAAACCCAACATTGGGAACTCCGCGCGCGATGACAGCATGCAGCTGTCCAGGGGGCAGAATGATGACCTGTGAGGCAGACCCAACCCAGTACCCCGCAGCCCGCAATCTGTGCGCCTGTCCCCAATAATGTCCTGAACGCGTTTCTAACTGATGCGAAGGCTGTTGAGTGTATAAATTGACCTAGGCGAAAATCTTAACTAAACGGCTTGCTAGATTCATGAATGGACATTTACAAATACGACTATTGCAAATATTGGTCACATGTAAGCTTCATCTGTCAGATAGCATAGGTCGACGCACCACACACAGCTCCGACCGACAGACGTGTCGTGAACTGTGCATCCTTGGTGATGTCGGCCGAGCTTTACTTTGTAGTTGGCAAATGGCACCTTAGGGAAGGTTGTTGCTGTGTAATGCAATGGATGTTGCCCCCTCCAAGAAGAACCTCCTTACCTTCCAGCATCATGATAACCTGGAAAAAATAGCAAAGAGACAAACAAACGTCTGACTAGAACCAAACTCATTGCACTAGTTACATGTGTGCTTGCACTTGCCACATCGGTAAATCTCCAGACCAGATGCACACAAAGAAAGCTCTGCCTACACACCTCACGGTCAGGAAAAACTTTTTGTAGCACTTCAAAAGCATGCTGGTCACTGGATGGAATGCCAAACGCAGGCGCCACCACCGCACCTGCAGTGCACCACCCATGAAAAAGAATGATGCACATGGCGGTGCTGATAGCTGGGCTGGCAAAAAGACCGAAATCACGGCACTGGGAATGCATGCACACATGAAAGGTGGCGGCAATGAGTCGCATTATGAGGGGAAGAAAGGGCGGAAGACGCATCACAGAGAGCTGACCGTTTGGGAGGTAGAAGTTGATGTAAGATGCTGGCATCAAGTCCCCTGCCTGCCGCTGCGCATGGCCCCCCTCCTTCACACAAGGGGGGGGGGCAGGCAGCGGGTAGGGGGCAGAGGGCAGAGGGCAGAGGGCAAAGGGCAACGGGGCAGAGGGCAGGCAGCAGAGGGCAGAGGTGTCGAGCAGACAGGATAGGGGCGGGCAGAGAGAGGGGCAGGGGCGGGCAGGGTACAGCACGGCAGTGAGCAAAGGGAATGAGCGAGAGGCAGCGGAGGGGGAGACACGGGAGGCAGGGAAGGGGGGTGTGCAAAAGAGGGACGTGGAATGGACGTGGAATGGACGTGGAATGGACGTGGAATGGACGTGGAATGGACGTGGAATGGACGTGGAATGGACGTGGAATGGACGTGGACTGGACGTGTACCTGTGAGAGCCCTTGCACGTCCTGCATACAAGCCCCTCAAAGCAAGCAGCAGTACCAGTACCAGTACCAGTACCTGTGCAAGCCCTTGCACGTCGTGCTGCGAGTAGTAGAGGGGAGGCGGCAGCGGCAGGTGTGTGATGCGCAGAGAGCGGCCCTTGGCGTCCCGAGACGCGGAGAGCACCTCGTGTGCTGCCTGGCACACTGAGTACTGCCGTGGCCGTTGCCGTTGCAAGCCGGGAGGATTCAGGGGAAGGGGGGACCAGAAGAGGATTCAGGGGAAGGGGGGACCAGAAGAGGATTCAGGATGGTTCTGATGGGAGATGGAACAGAGTGGGAATGAGCGTAACATGGAGTAGTGGTAGTACGCAGGTAGTAGTGCAGGAGGAGAGCGCTTCGTGAGAAGGGAGCACCATATGGACGGGAGAAGTTGGACGGTGGGGAGATGTGGGACGAGAGCAGCTGGGAAGTTGGATAGAAATAACTGTAAACTAGAGAGCATCTGGGAAATAGTGAGCAGCTAGTAAAAGTGAACAGGTGATACGAATGGGCACATGGAGAGAGAGAGGTCACACCTGGGGGTGGGAGGGGTCGTCGGTCCACGCGAGCAGCACGTGGGCCGGTGCCACGAAGCACGCCACATTGTCCACATGCCCGTCCGTGTCCTCGTCGCCTGCCGGGGGGGGTGAGATCACCCCGCATGCGAATAGACAGCCAGACGACAACAGCAGATTCATGCAGACATTCTTGCCATGTCCCAACCCCAAGTGACATGCAGAGTATGACGCGTGCAAAGTGTACCAAGTGAAGGGGTGGGTGAGGCGTCTGAGGAGAGAGAGAGCACCTTGCAAGCCGTGCGGCAGCCAGATGACGCAGGAGGCGCCGAGCAGAGCAGAGAGGTGGAGCTGGATGGCAGCGCGCGAGAGAGCGGGGTTGCGGGTGGGGCTGAGCAGGCACTGGGAGGTGGTGAGGAGCGTGCCTGATGGGGAGAGGGAGGGGGGGGGGGGGGTCGTTTTGTGTGGCACCTCAAAGATCGATGCATGGATGAGGATGTGTATTTTTGAGGCGCCTCAAAAATATGAGGATGTGGGCGACGGGGAGGGAGGGGTGGGGTGGGGATGACGAGGACGCAAAGACAGGAGGAGAGAAGGAAGACGCTGCTAGCTGGTCGGATGATGACTGTGATTTGAGGTGTACGCATGGGATGGTGCCGGCAGGCAGGCGGAGGAGCAGCAGAGTTGGGATTGCCGTCGCGGCGTCGCCATTCACCACATCACGAGCACCATCAGCAACACACGCACGCCAACATTACAGTACAGCCGCACGGCCCACCCACGCACACCATGCCAGGCCACACACCACGCCATGCCATCCCGTCCCGGCAGCCCCCCCACGACCCTCACCTTCCCCATCGACGTGCAGGGAGCCCCCCTCCATGACGAGCGAGGTGCGGTGGCGCGTGCAGCCTGCAATGAGCTCTGACATCTGCTGGCACGGGGGGGGGGGCGAGCTGCTTCAATTAGCAAGGTGGAAAGGCACCGTCTGGTGACACTGGGTGGGGCGAGGTAGCAATGGTCGACCAAGGTGCCAAGGCATGTGCAAGGGGATGTGCTTGTGCATGTGCATGTGCATGAGCTTGTGCATGTGCATATGCATGTGCATGTGCTTGTGCATGTGCATGTGCTTGTGCATGTGCATGTGCATGTGCATGTGCATGTGCATGTGCATGTGCTTGTGCATGTGCATGTGCATGTGCATGTGCATGTGCATGACCATGATCATGAGCATGCCTTGGCAGGGATGGCGTCATCAAGAGACCAGTCAGCATAGCACCCACTCTCAGCACCTGCAAGAGCCACGGGGCACATGACACAGAGACAGGAGCAGAAAGAAGGGCGGAAGGGATGGACCAGTCAGCATGCTAACTCGCACCAGCTGTCCTGTTACCAGCGAATGCTGGAGAGTGGTTTCCAAACCCTGGCAACAAGTCAGTCGGTGATACGGAAAGAAGTTGCCTTCTAGTCAAAGAAAACGACCCTGAATAGCTGTAAAGAGAAAGCAGCAAAATTCACCACCCTTATCTGTGATAAAGAAAGAAAGTTGCCCTGGCGGCAAGCATGCGTACCCACCACCCCACGCATTAAACGTCCAATCGATTGCCGCCACGTGTCGCTCCCCCTCTGGTGTGTCCTTGACGACAAACTGAGGGAGCAATGGATGAGCCAGGGGGGGAGAGAAAGAGTGCAAGAGATGCGCGGAAGAGGGGGGGCGGGAGGGAGGGAGGGAGAAGGGGAAGATGTGTGGTACGTGCGTGCGTAAAGCTTGTAGAGTGCAAGGCAAGCTAATAATAGAGTGAGGTGAGGCTTGTGGTGAGGAACACTAGCAGGGTGGCGTGGCATGGCGTGGCGTGGCCTGGCGTCTGCGCACCCTAGTTCAACTGGCAAAACTGCAACAAAGAGTGGCGCGGCGGCTCACAGTGGGGCATATGTCTCTGGCCCAGGCGTCGTTGCTGCTCATCTCTATCACGCGCACTGATGGCGGCAGCTGCTGCCGTGCATTCTGCCACTGGTGAGGGATGGTATGGGATGGTTGGGATGGCATGGCATGGCATGGGATGGGATGGCATTGCATGGCATGGCACGGGATGGGATGGGATGGGATGGGATGGGATGGGATGGGATGGGATGGGATGAGATGGAACGACGGGTATGAGGAGACAACCAGCAGATACAACGCACCTGCGCAACAAGTCTCTGGTCTTCCTCTTCATCCCTTCATTTCCCTTTCCTCGCCCACTATTCCCCCCCCCACCCCCCTCGCACCCTGCCTTCCCCCCATCGCCCTCACCTGTGCGCCCGACACCAGCATGCTGACTGGCTCGAATCTGCTGATGCAACCCGCCACGGCGGCGAAGGCCTGCTGAGCTGGCACTGCTGCATCGCGCCAGTTGTCAGGACGCTCCTGTGCACGGCGCGAGTGAGAGGCACGAATTCGCGAAATGCGGGGGGGGGAGAGGGGGGGTGGGGGAGGAAGGGAGAAGAATGGACGCGCTGGCAGGGGGGGCAGATTGGAGGAGAGGAGAGGCGGAGAAGTCGGCTTTAGGCAGGGGAAGTGGGCTAACGATGGGGGGGACGGAAGGCGGGCGGCGAACGGGAAAACGGATAGGGGGAAGGGAGGGGAGCGAGGGCGGAGAGCAGGGCGCCACGAGTATAGGGCAGCCGCGCAAAACTCAAGCGGGCAGGCGGCGCCGATCTAAAGCGGGCAGCGGGCGCGGAGCTCACGGGCCAGATCATCCAGCATCCGTCGTGCCGCTCCCATTCCGCCGGCATGCGGAACCCGCGCAGCGCGTCGCGAAGCCGACTCAGCTCGTCGCTGCCGCCAGCTACCGCTGAATCCGCCGCAAGAGACGCTTCCAGCCGAGCCGCATCGCCTGCTTGGATTCTCCGTCTTCCTTCCTGGTCCTCGTCGCTCTCCGCCACCTGCGGCCCGCTTCCCGCGGCGGTTCTTTCCGCCTCCACCGCCGCCATCCCCCTCACGCCGGCAAAATGGCTCAGGGTGTCGTTCCGCAGCTTCTCTGAACGCGCTATCAACGGATGGCGCTATCACTGAGAAGGGTGAGAGGCGAATTGCAGATGATGGGGAAGGAAGATGGGAAAATCGCGCCTCAAATTTGCGTTGGGAGTGGGGAGGTGGAGGTGTGGATGGGACTTTTGTGCCTCCAAGCCACTCGCAACGATTCCGTGAGGCTGACAATAACGAATTAGCGAAACCTGTCGAATACGCGTCGTAGCGTTACCCGACTTCCCTGTATTACGCCGAGGTGTGAAACAGCGTTCCAAAACATCCCTCTGTTTGCACTTGATTCTCAAAACTTATATTATTACATGTATAAAATCCAGAATTGATAAATATCCTTCTCTGCTGAGGTCGCCTTCAGGATTTTGGACGAAAAAAGAAGTTTGGACAAGAGAGGAATTTCTACCTGTCGGGATGACAGTCTAAATGACGGGTATACTTGTGTTATTAAATATATAATAATCCTACATTCTCCAATCCGAAGCAGTTTATAGGGACTCGACTTCTCCGCCAATTTCTCTCTAAAACACACTGTTACAGTGCACGTTTAGGTGGAGATCTGGAATCGGCAAAGGGTAAACTGAAAGCAAACCTAGGGCCTGCTGTTCTTAGGGTAAATAGGTGTACAGATTGAGAAACCTTCTTGTCCAAAGATTGGTTGTCGTCCAAACTCCTGCAGGCGATCTGAGCTAGCTAGAATCGAGTATGGTGCATCCTTCACCCAAGAGCGAGATGATGTGGAGTGTATATAGGTATGCAGGCACTCCCCACGCAGCGCGTAGCCCAATCATCCGAAGCCTGTTTGAAAACGAATTTCGGCCGCACAATCAAAGCAATATGTGACACCAGGCGACCTTGCTGCGAAGAATTCACGATGTTCTGCGAAACTCGCTCGCAACACATCAGCGAGAAAATCGCCACTCTCACTGCCATCCTCGCCGCCTTTTTCCATCCCACGGCCTGGCTTCGCCGATCAGATTCAGCAGCAAGCTCCCTCCCTTCATCAGGCCATTCATCAGGCCATGGATAAAACCGGCTGACTGACGGCTTGTGCATTGCTCGAGTTGTATTTCCTTCCCAGATTCAGGCCATCCTTCACGAGCTCGTTGCTCGTTAAGGACATGGAATAGCGAGATCGGTTGCATGCTTCGCTGAGTTCCTTATGCCCTCTTAATCCTCCAAATCTAGCAAGCGCACGGCACGGCCATCTAGCTGCTGCTCTGCAGCATCTTAGCCGTCACGCTTCTCCGCGCCATCAGTCGCTAGAATGGGATCAGCTCCTTCCACGCTCTCCTCCAATGAAAACCCGCCAGCTGTCACGACCGCCTCCGCACCGTCGCATGGGGTAACCGGTTCTGCGAGCGCGGAATTAGGCGGTCAGCTGTTCGTGTCGCTCCGTCTTGTCGACTCGCTTCCGTCGTCCCCGTTAGAATCCGCCGCGTTGGATTCGCCACAGGAGTCGGGGCCGTCGCAGCTCGTTCCGCACGTGGTCGGCGCGCACCCGCTCGTGGGCGCGTGGGACCCGCTCGCCGCTGTGAGTGCTTCGCGCAGGACCACGCGCCGACATGGCTTCTAGGCATGTCTGTCTTCTAGACATGGCGTCTAGATGCTTAATTCGCCGTAATTCACCGTGAAATCGTGTCCTTGATCATGGCATTCAGCACAGCAGGTCCTCGCGCCGTGCCTATTGTGCCCGCCAAACGCATCAACCTTTCTTCCCTCCCACTCCCGCCATTGCCACCCTTCGATTGCCCCTGCTCCCGTACCCTACCCTACCGTGCAAGCAACAGGTGCCGATGGAGCGGGACTCCCTGTGCGCATGGCAGCTGAACGTGCTGCTGCCAGCTCAGCACGGTGAGTCGCAGGCTGAACGCCCCCGCCTACCACTCTGCTCTTCTCTTGCGCATCCACCGGCTCGCGCCCAAATTACTGCTTCTGCCGTTCCTGTTCCTGCTGCTGCTCTTGCACGTGCTGCCACCACCGCCCGCGTTGCTCCTGCGTCCGCTGCTGCTGCTGCTGGATAGTCACCCTCCGTTTCATTCCTAGCCGGCGTCAAAACCCCAGCCTCCCCATTTTCCAACCCCGTCGCACGCCAACCTCCCCATGTCCGTGCACTAACCGCCCGCCCCATGCGTGCAGCCCCTTTGGAGTTCAAGGTGGTGCTCAAGACGGTGGGCGGCATGATCATGCTCGACGACCCCTGCCTCCTGGAACAGGGGCCTCCGCGCCAAATCATCGCCGGACACCTGGCAGGCCCTGACTCGTCCCGCCCCGCGCGGTTCCTCCTGGGGGATTTCGGGAGGAAGGAGGAGGAGGGCGGCGGGGAGGGGGGGAGCAAGTTGGGGGGAAGCATTGGGGGGAGCGCTGTGGGGGGGAGTGTGGGGGAGGGCACGGGGGAGGTGGAGTTTCCTGTGGAGATGAGCGCCAAGGCGGTGTCGCCGTTTGTGCTGGCAGCGGCGTGGAAGCTGTACCATGGGGCCATCTCGTCCCATGGCACGCTGGTGCGCGGCATACCGGACGTGTGCGAGGATGCCATGCCCGTGCCCACGCCCGTGCACGTGTCACCTGACATCCATGTGAGTGAGCATCAGAACGAGCGAGCGGGTGGTTGAGTTGAATGAGGAGCTGTGATGTCGTGGCGTGGCGCAATGGATAGCCCCATATGTTATGTCCTGTCTTTGTCAGGATCATTGTCTGCCTGCTGTCACCTGACTTGGCCTTCATAGATATGTCTTGCACATTCTCAAGCCCTCGTCGTCATCAGTCAACGGACATGGTCTCCCGTCCTCCCCACTCCCATCCCTCGCCCTCCCTCCTGTCCCTCTCCTCCCCCTCCTCCCCATCCTCCCCCCAACCCCTGGCCCGCCAGCCGCTGCTGTCGGACTCGCTAAAGGACTACGAGGTGCCACCGCCCCCCCACAAGGTCACTCTGTACGCTGCGGACGCCACCGAAGACCCGCGCTCCCTGCGCCAGTCAGCGGACACTGCTCTTTCCGCCTCGCGCTCCCTCTCCGCCGCCAGTCCGGGGGGTTTCAGCGCCGGTGGCGGGCCGGCCAGCGCGCCGCACAGCATCGGGCACACGCCGCAGCAGTCGCCATCGCTCATGATGCGATCTGTGGTCTCCATCAAGGTCCGCTCGCTCACGCCTTGAGAGCTGACGATGTCGATATGCAGTGCAGAACTGTCTTGTGGTGTCTGTTAGCCCTTATTGGCCTGCCCGCCTGCTGCTGTATGTATGCTATCCACCTCTCTTCACCCTGCCTCTTGCTTCTCCTCCCCGCCTCCCTCCCCGCCTCCCTCCCCCATCCCCCCACACCCACATCCCCATGCCCCCATCCCCCCGCCAGGATCTAGTGCTGCTGGGCGAGGAGGAGCAGACGCGCATGGACAATGCTGCACTGGCAGCGCTTGCAGCAGGCGGACACCCGCATGTAGGGGGCCCAGTGGGGGAGGACGTATCTGCTGCGGCTGCTGCTGCTGCAGGGCTGGTGCAGGTGCCCAGCCCTGCTGACACCGCCATGAAACGCGCTCAGGCGCGCATGCTGCTGCAGCAGCAGCAGCAGCAGCAGCAGCAGCAGCAGGAGGAGGAGGAGGCAGAGGAGGAGGGATTGAGGCTGGGAGTGGAGGGGGCAGGGCGGCAGGGGTCGGGGAGAAGACTGGGGCTGGAGGACCACGCAGCTGCTGGGCAGGGCGGAGGGCAGCAGGGCGTGGTGGCGGGCACGCCGCCCCCCCACGTGCTGGGCCCGGTGAAGTCCCTGAGTGCACGCAGCTCCGGCAGCAACGGCAGCTGCGGGGGGCTCGCCGACCTGGACCTAGACGTGAGTCGAAACAGGGGGGGCGGAGGGAAGGCAGGGGAGCCTATTCTTGAAGCGCCTAAAAAATATAACCTGGACCTAGACGTGAGTCGAAACAGGGAGGGCAGGGCAGGGAGGGAAGGCTGGGGTAAAAAGGCTTGCTCTGCCCCTAGCCTGCCCCGTGCTTTCCTTCCCCCGTCTTCTCCCCTCCCACCATTCGTGAGTCGTTCCTCCCTTCACATCACGACCGTATCGTCCCTCTCCCAACAGCAGAGGTGGTGCCAGCGGCACCTGCAGCAAGGGGTCAGTCCTTCTCTCACAACCCCCTTGTTCCGCTACGCCCGTTTTTCCCATCCGCCTCTCCCTACTCCTACTCCTCTCCGCCCCCCACCCCCCCCCCTTCTTCACCCACTCCGCCACCCCCCCACGAGCAGCATCCGCGGCTGTCGTTTCCAGAGGACCTACCAGAGGCAGCGGGAGCAGTGGCGGCAGCGGCAGCAGCGGAGCGGCTGCTGGGACCCAAGGAGAGGCGGCGCCTGGCGATCATCATGGTGATGAGTGGGAGGGGTGGGCGGGGTAGGAGGGGTTGGAGGTTATAGATTTGAATGTATGAGTTGGCCTTTGTTGGCTCTGCTATGGCTGCCATCACTAGCACCCTCGGCATGAGCACCGCCCCCATCCCCTGTGCTCACTATGACTTTTGAGTCGACACAAAGTCTCCCCACCCCCTGTGTTCACGATGCCCCCATCCATCCAGGTGGGCCTGCCAGCGCGCGGCAAGACGTTCACAGCAGCCAAGCTCACACGGTACCTCAGATGGCTGGGCCATGAGACCAAGCACTTCAACGTGGGCAAGGTGAGACCAAGCACTTCAACGTGGAGTGGGAAAGGAGGGAGGGGAAGGGTTTGCAGGGCGGAGGTAGTGCATGGGTTCTAAGTATCTATGCTCTCCTGCATGAGAGGTGCTCGCCAGCCACGTTACACGTGGCTCTTGAGGCTGAAACCTGCAAGCCAGTTTCAGTTTCTTGAGTTGACTCTACATGACAGAAGAACAGGATGCCGTTCACTCATTTGATCTCTACACTGATCTTTACACGCGTTTTCCCTCTCACCCCTCTCACTCATTCCGCCATTCATTGCTCTCCACTCCCTCCCCTCTCTTCTACTACTCCCCCCGTTCCCTCACTTCCCTGCTCCGACCCGCTGGGTACTGTGGCAGTATCGGCGACTGAAGCTGGGAGCCAGCCAGGTAGGACCTTGAGCTCTTAGTATGGCGTTCACTCGTCTCAGGCTTGCTTGTGGTGCTCTCGGGCCACCTTGCTTGTAAGGCTCCTAATCTCTGGTTCGTCGTGCCGTGTGGCGCGCTTGTGCGGTGTTGACAAGTGAGCCCCATGTCGCATGCTTCGCAGTTGGAGCTTGGCCATGTGTGCGCTCACGCTCCACTCCCCTGCACTCCTCAGTGCCATGCCATGCCCCTCCGTGCGTGTTCGCCTCCCATGCTGGCTCCTTCGTCTGTGTCTGCGTGTGCCGTGCCATGCCATGCCATGCCATGCCATGGCCGCCTGCTCCATGTGTGCCTGTTTCTGTTGCCCCACCACACAGACGTCTGACTTCTTCAGAGCTGACAACTTCGAAGGCATAGAGGCTCGCAACGAGGTGTGTGTGTGTGTGTGTGTGTGTGTGTGTGTGTGTGTGTGTGTGTGTGTGTGTGTGTGTGTGTATGTGTCTCTCCCTCTCTCATCCCCTCGCCCCTCGTCCCCGCGCTCCCTCCCTCTCCGCCTTCCCACGGACCCTTCTCCAACGCCCACCGTCCTTCTGCCATTCACCACCCCTCGTGTACCTGGTTGTGTCTCGCCACCGGCTCTGTCGAGTCTCGTGCGCCTCTCGTTCTGCCTCACCTCAAAGCTTCAATTCTTGGGCCTGTACGCCCGTGCGTGTGTGCATGTATTTTCGTGTGCGTGCGTGTGCTGTGTGAGTCCGTGTGCGTGTGCGTGTGTGTATGTGCATGCCGCATGCGCACGTGTGCGTGTCACGTTTGGGTGTGTGGGTGTGTGCGTGCGTGTGCACGTGTGCGTGTGCGTCTGTGTGTGCATGGCTGCTCGAGCGTGTGCATGCAGGTGGCAGTGGAGGCGTTCACTGACATGCTTGCGTGGATGGACGAAGGGGGTCAGGTGACACACACTCACTAATCCCCCCCAATCTTCCCACCCACCTCTCCATGAAGGCTCACATTCGAGCCGTTTCAGTCTGCCTCTCCTCTCTCTCTCTCCATCAGCATCCACTCTCATCCCTCCACCACTCTCCTGGGATCTCCTTAAAGCCCGAAAAAAAAAAGAGAAAAAAAACTCTCCACTCTCCAACGTCTTCGCTCTCTTTCTAGTCGACTCAAAAGTCATCTCTCCATCTGCATTCATCCACTCTTATCTCTCCACTCTCCACTCTCCACTCTCCACTCTCCACTGTCTCCGCTGTCTCCAACTTTGCAACGCTCGTCTATCGTCCCTGGGTGTCCTCCCCGCTGCTTCTCCACCTCTCGCCAGGTGGGCGTGTTTGACGCCACCAACAGCACCAGGGCGCGCCGCAACATGCTGCTGCAACTGGCAGAGCACAAGTGCAAGGTGGGCGCAAGGGCAAGGGTCTACCTATCCTCTTCAAGTCTCGCAGCCCATATCGGTTCCCATGCATTGTGTGCTCCCCCTATCTCTGCAAACTGTGCTCCTTGCAACTCCTCCCCCCCTCTCCCATCTCCCTCCCGCCCCTCCCCCCCCCACTGGCAGGTGATCTTCCTGGAGTGCATCTGTGACGACGCGTCTGTGATCGACCGCAATGCACGTGAGAAGATCAAGGCGTCCCCGGACTACACCAGCATGTGAGCACTCACCGCTGCTCACCGCTGCTCACCGCTGTTGCCATTGTTGCCCCAGTTGTCCCACTGCTGGCAGTGCATTCATAAATACCTCTGGCTGTGCCGCTGATTCCATGCATCTGCTGCTATTAGTGTATGGATGCTCGTTGTTGGTGGCAAGGTATGGGACCGTATGGACTGCGAAAGATCAGGCAGTGGTGGTGAGAGGTCTTGAGGCCGCATCCGCATCCTAACCCATCCCCTGCTAGGGCGTCGCACCCCTGGCCACCATGCTCTGCGCCGTTTGATGCCACCAGGGCCGACGCGGAGACAGCTCTCAACGATTTCCGATCGCGACTCGACAACTACCAACAGGTGCGCGCTCTTTCCTCCCTGCTCTCCTCTCTGCTCCCCTCTCTTCATCTTGAAATTCTCATGCCTTTCACTTCTCCTGTCTGACTTTGATGCACTCGCTTCACTGTGCTGCATGTCGATGTGTGTGCTGTGTGCGGGGTGCATGCAGGTGTACGAGCCAGTGGAGGAGGGTTCGTACATCAAGCTCATCAACATGGTCTCGGGCTCCTCGGGACAGCTGCAGGTGCCATGCCATGCCATGCCATGCTGTGCCGTGCTGCTGTGCCGTGCCATGCCTCCATTGAGATGCTGTAACTGCCAGCCTTGACATGCCATCAGAGGGCCGCAGATCTCAACCCCAAGAGCCTTCACGTGCCCAAGGACCATCTCCTGGAGCCTCAACCCCATCCCATCCCATCCCACCCCATTCCATCCCACCATTATCACTCGCTATGCAGCGTCCCACCATTCACAATGAACCCGTGCCGTGGCATGATGGCGACATGGCGTTAGGACATGTCACTCACGTCTGCCGCCCACTCGATCCTTTCCACACACACGTCTCACTCACACGGCTCCAGTTCCCATCACCCCACCTCTAGTTCCCATCACCCCATCTCCAGCTCCTCAAGTTCGCTCCCCTTACTCTCCCTCCTTTGTCCCTCTCTGCTTGTCTTCTCCCTCTCCTTTTTCCGCATTTCCTCCCCTCCTCCCTCCCATCTCCTTGCTTCCCGTCTTCCTTCGTCCCATCCCCTCCCCACTCCCAATCTACTCTCATAACCTCCCTTCCCCCCTCGCCTTCTCCTGCCCTCCGTCCTGCTCCTATCCCCCTCTGCACTCCTCTCCTCCCCTGCACTCCCCTCCCCCTCTGCACTCCCCTCCCCTTTTTGCACTCCCCTCCCCCACTCCAAGCCCCTCTCCCTGTGCCCTCTTCGCCCCCTGTGCTTCTATGGCAGGTGAACAACATCAGTGGGTACCTCCCTGGACGCATCGTCTTCTTCCTGGTACGGCCCCATGCACCATGCACATGCACGTGCACACGCCACCATGCACATACACAAGCACACGCACATTCACATCTACATCCAGCGCCCCCCTCCCATTTCCCCTCCCAGCTCCACAATCATTCAGCTCTCTCTCGGGAGAGTACTCCCCTTCTCAGCAATCACCTCGTCTACCCATGCACCTCCTGCCATTTACTCCACATGGTCACTGCTCCTCACTTGACTCGTGCATCTCCATCGCTCACCCGCTCTCCTCAATTCGTCTTTTGCACTAGATAGGAGAAGATACAGGCATGGCCGCAGAGAGCGCATACAGGTGAGTCCCAAATTCCGGGCTGGAGGACCTCAAGGGTCCCCCAGCGCCGGCTGTACTACTTGCAGCAGGCCGCGCGCGCTATACTCTATTCCCCATCTCCCTCTCCCCGTGTGCTTCTCTGTGTGTATCGGCCTGCACCTGTGCCTTCATGTGCCACCGTGCATGTCCCGCCGTGCAGCTGAACACGCACATCACGCCCCGTCCGGTGCTTCTGACGCGGCATGGGGAGAGTATGGACAACGTGAGGGGCAGAATCGGAGGCGACCCGCTCCTCAGGTGCGCTTCTCTCACACATGCTGCACGTGCTTCACGTGCTTCACACACTACACGTGCTTCACACACACAACACGTGCTTCACACACTACGCGTGCTTCACACACTACACGTGCTTCACACACTACACGTGCTTCACACACTACACCTGCTGCACACATGACACGTGCTTCATACGCTACACATGCTTCACACACTACACGTGCTTCACACACTACACCTGCTTCACACACTACACCTGCTGCACATTCTACACGTGCTTCGCACACTACACGTGCTTCACACACTACACGTGCTTCACACACTACACGTGCTTCACACACTACACGTGCTTCACACACTACACGTGCTTCACACTCTACACGTGCTTCACACTCTACACGTGCTTCACACACTACACCTGCTGCACACACGACACGTGCTTCACACACTACACGTGCTTCACACACTACACGTGCTTCACACACTACACCTACTGCACACACTACACGTGCTTCGCACACTACACTTGCTTCACACACTACACGTGCTTCACACACTACACGTGCTTCACACACTACACCTGCTGCACACACTACACGTGCTTCGCACACTGCACTTGCTTCACACACTACACGTGCTTCACACCCTACACGTGCTTCACAAACTACACGTGCTTCACACACTACACTTGCTTCACGCACTACACGTGCTTCACACACGACACGCACTTCACACACGACACGTGCTGCACGGCACTCTGCCCCTGCTACAGCAACATCTGTTTCCCCATTGACTGACCTCACAGTCCAAGTCAAGCTACACTTCCTCTGTGTTCCTCTCATCTTGCGTGATATTCCAGCGTACATGCTTCGTGATATTCTTCTCCCCCCGGCTGATGTGAAACATCCGTGTGCGGAGGGTGCCCTCACCTCCTTATTAGGCGAGCATGATGTTGTATCGGAGCATTGCAGCTTGCATCGGGGTTTCGGGTTTAGGGTTGGTTTTTTACCCGAAACCCTAAGGTATCCCTCCTTGTTCTCCTGGTATGTCCCTCTCCTCCCTCCCCCCTCCACCCATGCAGTCCAGCGGGGGAGATCTATGCAGAGAAGCTGTCAGAGTTTGTGCACAAGCGGCTGCGCAACGAGAGGCTCGCATCCGTATGCTGCTCGCCCCTGCCCTGCCCTGCCCTGCCTGCTGCTTCTTCACGATCTATCCATCAATCCCAATTGGTCCTTTGTATTGGATAGGGGCATCGTACAGGCAAGGCAAAGGAGGCACGCATACGCGTTATCATCCATAATTCCTCCCCCGCCCCTTGTGTTCCACGTGCCGCACACGTGAGGAGTCTATTTTTGAGGTGCCTCAAAAATAGACTCCTCTCACGTGCGGCAAAGGCTCTCATGCGTATTCGTCCAGCCATATCAGGAGCCCCAACTTGGATTGTTCTACATCGCCCTTTACCAGTCACATACCGCTCACTCAAGTAGTCCTTCGTACTCACTCTCACTCTCCCTCTTTCTCCACCACACGCAGTTTCATCTGCCTGCCATCAACCTGTCTCATTCCCTGCATTATATCCTGCCTCTTCATTACTGCGATCGCCCTTCCACATGCCGCCATGCTGCCATGCCACCATGCCACCATGCCACCATGCCACCATGCCGCCATGCCACCATGCCACCATGCCGCCATGCCGCCATGCCACCATGCCACCATGCCGCCATGCTGCCATGCCACCATGCCGCCATGCCACCATGCCACCATGCCACCATGCCACCGTGCCACCATGCTGCCGTCCCATCATCCCCCGTGCCATGGCACCATCAGGTGTGGACCAGCACTCTGCGTCGCACCATCCGTACCGGGCGCCACATCGCAGGCTTTCCCAAGGTATCCCAGGAATGTGCCGCACAATGTATGGTGTCTGCACAAGCCACGCCCAGTGGTCTGGTTTGGGCCCTGTTTTCCTGCTACAATTGCAGACGCATGGGGCTTCTGCACAGGGGTTAGCTCAAAGTTCTCACAAGCAACATGGGGCCTCACAGAAGGGGGGGCCTCCTCAGGCGATATCCGTGCTCCTGATCATGACTGCAGCCATGTGCCTGTGCTGTACCACTAACGCCCTCAACTTACCGCTGCTCGAGTGAGCAGCCCAGCACTGTCATTGTGCACCCAGTTCCCAGTCATCTTGTGCCAATGCCTCCCTCCCTCCCTCCCTCCCTCCCTCCCTCCCTCCTCCCTCCCTCCGCCTCCTCCCTCCCTCCCTCCCTCCCTCCCTCCCTCCCTCCCTCCCTCCCCTCCCTCCCTCCCTCCCTCCCTCCCTCCCTCCCTCCCTCCCTCCCTCCCTCCCTCCTCCCTCCCTCCCTCCCTCCCTCCCTCCCTCCCTCCCTCCCTCCCTCCCTCCCTCCCTCCCTCCCTCCCTCCCTCCCTCCTCCCTCCCTCCCTCTCTCCCTCCCTCCCTCCCTCCCTCCCTCCCTCCCTCCCTCCCTCCCTCCCCCCCTGCGCCCCGTTCCTCTCTTCCCCAATGCTGCCGCCCCCCATGGTGGTGGCACCTTCAGGTGCAGTGGAGGGCGCTGGACGAGATCGATGCAGGGGTGTGCGATGGCATGACGTACCTTGAGATCCGACAGAGCATGCCAGACGAATACCAGTCAGTGTCACCCTGCATGCATGCCACCACCACCACCACCACCACCACCGCTGCCGCCGCCGCCGCCACCAGATGCATGCATCCGTGCATGAGAGTCCCCCCCATCGCCTATTGCACAGATTGGCCATGCTGCTGACATGGCATTGCAACCGGCCCCTCTTCTCCCTGCATCTGCCTGTGCTTGCTTCTGCCTGTGCTTGCATCTGCTTGTGCTTGCTTCTGCCTGTGCTTGCTTCTGCCTGTGCTTGCTTCTGCCTGTGCTTGCTTCTGCCTGTGCTTGTTTCTGCCTGTGCTTGCTTCTGCCTGTGCTTGCTCCTGCCTGTGCTTGCTCCTGCCTGTGCTTGCTCCTGCCTGTGCTTGCTTCCTTGCCTGACCCCATGTCTTCACACTCCCAGTTCCACCTCACCTCCCCTCGTCTCATCTCTTCTCATCTCCTCTTCGCACCTCCCCGCGCCCCCCCTCTCCTCCTCACGCCCTGCGTCTCTCTTGCCAGCTCGCGTAAGGCCGACAAGTTGCGCTACCGCTATCCACGCGGGGAGTCGTACCTGGACGTCATTCAGAGGTGTGTGGGTGCAGCATGGCTATCGCCCACCGTGCCGTGCCATGTCCTGGCGTGCCGTGCCTTTCACTGCTTGCTCCATGCCGATCTCCTTGCCATCAACCTTGCCATCACCCTTTCCATCTGCAGTTTCTCTGTGCCTTCCCTCAGACTTCGTCTTTTCCTTGACTTTCATCATTATGGTTGCCTTTGTTCCTATACCCTCTTGGTATCCTCTCTGTGTTTGTGCCCCCTCCTCCCCCCTCCTGTTGGCAGGTTGGAGCCAGTGATAATAGAGCTGGAGAGGCAGAGGCACCCGGTGGTCATCATTGCGCATCAGGCATGTACCTCCTGCTCCACACGTGCAATTCCAAATGGAGTTTCAGAGAGGAGCATCCACATGCCTTGCTGTACAACTGCTCCACCACTCCATGCCATGCCATGCCACGCTGGTACGCCAACGTTATGCTGCATGGAAGCTTCTCACACGGTGTCAGCCCTGGCTGCTTGCACGCTCACCCTTCACACCTGGACTCGCCACTTTGGCCGAGCTTGCCGCATCATGCTCACAACGAGAGCACTGCTTGTCGTCTCTGTTGTCTGAAACACATTGCATGCTCTTGGCTGCCTTCTTCCCCTCCCCCTCCCCCTCCCCCCCCCCCCCTCTGTGAGCATGTACAGGCGGTGCTTCGAGCACTGTATGCGTATTTCATGGACAAGCCATTGAGGGAGGTGCCGCACATCGAGGTGACTAACGCCTCACTTGCCTTCTCCCTTCGCCCCCTCATGCACGCTCTCGCCCTCTCTTGCTCTCCCCCTCTCTTTGTCTCGTGCCTTGCTCTTGTGCCTCCTCCTATCAACCCTTCCTCGCCCTCACTCTTCGTTCAACTCGCCTGCAATGCCGCCCTCACTCATACTCTGTGCCTCAAGTGCCTGTTCCCGCTCTCACCCTCGCCCATGCCACAACTGGCAATCGCCCCCCTCTGTGTGTGTGTGTGTGCGTGTGTGTTGCGTGTGGGTGGCAGATGCCACTACACACCATCATCGAGCTCACCACGGGCGTGGGTGGCATCACTGAGAAGCGCTTCAAGCTCACTTCCGCATCCACGGCTGCCGCCACAGCCGCTGCAGCTGCCGCTGCTGCCGCCGCTGTGACCTCTCCAGTGGCGTCACACAACATCATGTCCCCTACTTAGTTTCGCCTGGCCTGAACTGAGTTGCCCCCCCCCCCCCCAGCCACCGCCTCCCACCCCTGTTCTCGTGCCCTCGCCCCTCCCCGTTGCACGTGAAGCCGTGGCACAGATAGATGGGTGTTAAAGCAACCGATAGATTTACCACGTTTTGTGTGCATGGGGGAAATTGTGCATGTGAGATGCATTTCCTATGAATGTTGATACGCCATCCTTTCTTGATAGGACGGATAAAATATGTTAATGTAGGCGAGCAATGGAATGATCAACATGGCGGCACAACAAGAGCATAATTTGAACGGACTGTTCTATGTCTACATGCTACATGTTACACCACAGGCTTGCGTCAGGGCAGATCGAAATAGTGCGTATGATTGCGGTGCAGCTTGCTTTGCGTTTCAAAGCGTTCGATCGAAAATGTACAGTACTATTTGGACCCGCCCTCAGTCAGGCTAGCAGTCTGAAATTCGCGTGTTGACGAATAGGAAAATACTGTACCTGGCTTTGATGGAGACCTGCTCGAGGGCTGCCAGCCTGACATGGCTCGCACAGCTGCTGTAGACAAAACATGTCCTCAAGCAATGGTTTGTCACCATGGCCTGTGACCCGCTGCTGTCACATGGCTCGTCGTCTTGTCGAATCGAAAAGGCTGCGGAGTGGATATCCACAAGCTGGCGAAGCCGCATCCAGCCAAGAAGTCGGATGGGTGTTGTTTCTGTTGCATGCTGACTCGGCGCCAACTTTTTGTTCAAAGTCTGTTAAAAGGGTTGCAAACATTGGTTGAATGAAGATTTAGCTACGATTTTCCTCAACTTCTAGCACGGTCGCGGTCATATGAAGAATAAATCGCACAGTAATCTGCCCCTTCCGAACCAGGGCCACAAGGCAGCTCGGGAAGACATCCGTCCCCCACTGACATCCCCCATCACAGAAACTAGCCCCATCCCCCACTGACGTTCCTTTTGGGTATCCGTTGACTGGCCGATGGTCTGACCGTAAACGGGAGGCAGTGACTGACACTGCAAGCCAGAAACATTGCCACCAGGTGTGATCAAAACTCCCTTAGTAGTTTTATAAAAAGCCAGCCCCGTTCACATGATCACACGTGACACAGACCGAGGAAAGCTGGCCCCGCTACTCTCAAAATTAACCAAAAGCCAGGGTAGCTGCAAAGCTCGTCCGCAACACACTGTCATGGAGCCACCTACTTCCCATTCCAACATGGCTGGTGGCCCCGCTGTTGGCTGCCGAATAGAAGCACGAGTGTATTGAGGGCGGGTCCCAGCTGTACGTTTGATTGCGGTGCACTAAGGTTGATTGCGTTTGAAAGCTTTCCAAAACCACATGAGAATGGTTGGGTAGGGGAAAATGTGTGTTTGAGAGTTGCGTTCGCTTTGTGCTGTGAGACTGCACCACTCTGCGCTCTTTCCGTCTTGCCTTTCACTGCCACAACCAGCAACTCGAGGCACTAGTGTGAACAACCCGCTCTGCCACGCCACCACCACAAGCCGCTGCATCCATGTTGGGGCAAGGAGCCGTACAGCAGCAAGAGTGAGCTGCCAAACGACCAGCGCCCGTCCTTATCACCCAGAACCACGTCGCAGCATTGTCCATGGAACTACGTCACCGTCCGAGAGCTGGGCATACAATGACGGAGTGTCGCGCCGCGCACCGGTGGTTGCGTCGCCACGTCGAGTGGGCTATGCCACAAGTGGCATGACACGTCCCGTCACGCGCGGAGGCATTTGCCCTACCACACCACGGGCACTGTGATGTGAATCGTCCCTCTCACCACGTCTGGCCCTGCCCTACTCCACGATTGCGTCTCCCAGCTGAGAGCGCACACACCGTCTTTTCCAGGTACCCCCCCCCCCCCCCCCTCCCCGTCCGCGTCCCCGCGCGCCATGAATCTGGTGCGCAAGATCCGCCAGCTCAGCGCGGACCGCCGCTCTCGCCGCAGCGCGGCAAGCGCCACCAGCCGAGGAGGGAGCGAGGACGTCTGCACCAGCGGCGGCGGCGGGCCCGGAAGCTGCGCCTCGTGGGCTGACGTGTCGTGTGTCGTAAGTAACACAGCCGCGTCGCCACCCCGGGAGGCTCCGCCCGCGGACAACCGCAATGCCCCCGCTGAGCCGCTACCCGGCGGCGGATGTAGCTCGGCTCGCGAGTCTCGACGGTCGTTCGAGCTCCCTCCGCTCCGGGCGTCGCCGGGCCGCAACGGAGCGATCACGCCGCCCCCCGTGGCCGGGCGCATCTGCCTGAGCAGCAGCTACGACTCCTCGCACCGCCCCCCGCTCCCTGTCCCACCCGCCTCGAGCGCCGCGCACCAGCTGCACTCCACTGCGGACGGAGTAGCTCCAGTCAGCCGGCTCGGGAGACGAAACGCGCCGATCGGGGGGGAGGAAGAAGCGCGGAATGCGGGGGAGGTCGGAGAGGCGGCTGCGGAGAGCGGGCACGCTCTGAAGGGGAAGGGGAAGGGGAAGGGGAAGGGTACTGCGGAGGGGATGGTGGCACGGGGAAAGGCGGAGCCGCGGAGCGAGGATGCGGTGGGCGACGGCAGGTCGTGCGACGAGGGGGAGTTGTCGTCGTGCGAAGAAATCGCAAGTGACGACGGGGGTTTGACGCCACCGCCGCACTTTGCGGGCCAGCAGGAGCACTCGCGGACATTCCACCTGTACGCAGGTAGCAACGGCAGCGCCGGCGGCGGCAGCGGCGCGGGAAACGCCGCAGCGGGGGCGAGCGGCGCGCACGGCGCGGGGCTCGCAGGGCAGAATAACGCGCGCGGGGACGGCGCGGGCAGCGGGAGCGGAACGAATTCCCTGTCGGCGTGGCGGTGGCACCAGAGCAATAAGGTGGCGGAGTGGTTGCTGGCGCTCCCCGCGGACCTCGCCCCGCCCTGCGACTCCGACTTCTCCTCGCTGCTCGACCCCCCCCACGCGCACGCCGCCGCTAATGGCGCCGCTGCCGACGCGCCGAAGAGAGACCACGGAACCGGGGGGAAGGGGGGGGAGGGTGCGGGACAGGTGCTGGGGGAGGGGGCGCAGGGGGCAGCGGGAGTTGGGGCGGAATCGGAAGTGGTTATCACCTCTGCTGCTCTGGGCGCAGCGGCGGAAGCGTGCGCGGAGAGGCAGGGGGGGCTGTCGCCAGTGAAGGTGGTGGCGGGGGGGACGTCTGGGGGGGTTCAGTCGTGCACTGCGTCGGGCACGCCTAGCCCCAGCCAACCGAGCCCGCGCGCCGTGGTCGGCGGAGGCGGAGGCGCGGATGAGAAGGGAGGGGAGGGTAAGGGACAGGAGGAGCAAGAGCAGGCGGAGGTTGCGGAGGAATTGGTGGAGGGGACGCAGGGAGCGGTTGGGGGAGACCAGCAGCAACAGCAGCAGCAGCAGCATATACCCCTGCCAAAGCGCCCACCCCGCCAGCCCGATGACGTGGAAGGCATGGTTGCTGACCTGGCACCGCTTTGCAGCACTGGCGACGGCGGGGCAGGCGAGAGCGCAGCAGAGGCGGCGGAGCGGCAGGTGGGTGCTGCTCGCGCGCTGAGGCAGCTGGCGCGCGGAGGGGAGGAGACGCGTGACTCCATAGTGGCTGCAGGCGCCGTTCCAGCGCTTGTGCTCATCCTGCAACACGCTGCCGACGCTGCTGCTGCCACTGCTGCTGGTGCTACTGGTGCTGCAAGTGTAGGTGCGTCCGTTAGCAACAGCGGCAGGAAAGATCCTGCTGGTGGTGGTGCTTCCAGCTCCGTTGCTGTGCTGGCAAACCCGTTAGTGGACTACTCGATATCAGCGCTGGTGAACCTGAGTGTGTGCCGGGGCATCAAGGCGATCATCAACGATGCGGGCGCTGTGCAGCCCCTCATTGTTCTGCTGCGCGGTTCCGCCGTCCCCATCACTTCCACCTCCCCCTCCCCCTCCCCCTTGATAGGAGACTCTGACCCGCGCTCAGACGCCCACAGCCGCAGTTACACACATGGCCACGGGCACTCACAGAGCCATTCCTCGCGCCACTCACACTCCCACTCTCACTCGCACTCCCACACGCACACTCACCTACCAACCCACAGCCACGGCCACCAGGCATCCGCTCCAGCTCCCAGCCTGTCGTCCCCTGCCGCGCTACCTCCCGCCGCCACGTCCCCGTCCACGCGCGCCAATGCAGCCGTGGCGCTGTACTCTCTGTCGAAGCTCGACGACGCCATGCGCGCGCACATGGGCGACCTGGGTGGCGTGGAGGCGCTGGTGGGCTTCCTGGCGGACGGCAGTGTGAGCAAGGGGCGCAAGGACGCTGTCACCGCGCTGCACAGCCTCTCCACCGTCGCCCCCAACCGCCCCAGGCTCGTGCGCGCCGGCGCCGTGCCCATGCTGCTCGACTGGGTCGCTGCCAGCAAGAAACCCGCCGGCGCCGGCGCCGCCGCTGCTGCTGGTGCTGATGGTGCCTGTATAGCTGCTGGGGGGAGCGTGGTGGGCAGCCAGAGGGGCATCAGCGAGGAGGACGACCTGGTGATGGTGGAACGCGCGCTGGCAGTGCTGGCGCAGGTGGCGGCGTGCGAGGAGGGCCGCGCCGAGATGGCTGGACGGGGCGGAATCGAGACGCTGCTCGTTCTGGTGCAGAATGGAGGGGGCCCCTCGGTGGCGTGTGCGGAGTACGCGGTGGCAGCGCTGCTGGCCCTGGCGAACAGCAGCTCCACGCTGCGCCGCAAGCTGCATAGCCTCAACCTGGGGCCTGCGCTCACCCAACTGGCTGCCAGCTTCAGCCCCAAGGCCAAGGGCAAGGTGAGAGAGCAGGCCCTTTGCTCTTTGCTCAGCTTGTGCCGTCAGCTGGTGATGGCTGTTGTTTCTCACGCTGTTATTAGCTTCCACTTAACTCTATTCTCAGCTGTTGTTTCTCGTGCATGTGCTTGCATGCATGTGTGGTGCATGTGTGTGTGTGTGTGTGTGTGTGTGTGCATGCGCGCCCGTGTGTGCTTGTGTGTGTGTGTGTGTGGGCATGTGCATGTGTGTACGCGCAGGTCAAGAAGCTCCTGGACATACTTCATGTCCACTGAAGCAGCCAGCCATCCATGACAGTCGCTGCATGCTCTTCTGCTTTCAGCCTGACCTCCCCTCAGATAGCCCCTGCCACTCATGCATGTGCACCTCTTCCTTTCAAGCCCGCCTTCCCAATAACATTCACTGCGGCCCGCCTTCCTTTCAATAGTAATTATTTCATTTTTTCTCCAACCTCTCCCTACCATTCGCTCGCCATCAGCCCCTTTCGGCCCAAGACCTCTTCTCTCTTTCTCTCTCTCTCTCTCTCTCTCTCTCTCTCTCTCTCTCTCTCTCTCTCTCTCTCTCTCTCTCTCTCTCTCTCTCTCTCTCTCTCTCTCCCCCTCTCCCCCCCCCCCCTCACCCCCCTCCCTCTACCCACTTGCCTGCTTCCCTCTCGCACTAGCTTGCTCCCTTCAACCGCATGTCCTCTGATGTATGAGTCCTCTGCCTGTCATGACGTGCCTCAACAAACCTCTGGCCTGTCTGGAGATAACCGCTGCTACCAGGCTTGACAACCGCAAGGTTAGAGCTACCCGTCCCACCACCAGCAGTTCCCCACAATCGAAGTTGTAACACATCACATGATGTGCTTGCGTGTGTATTGATGGCAAACGATGGCTGGAATTCCGCCCTGATTTGTTTTTTCTTGTTGCTTTGTTTGTCCAAGGAAATAAAACGCTTGCTTCCAATATGGTACTTATTCTTGTGTCACAAGTGTGCTGAGTAATATAAAGTTTTACACGATTAGCTTTCTAAAGTCCATATCTCGATTAATTTCCACAGGGTAGTTCAAACCACGCGATAGTGTCTCTGCTACCAACAGTGTTCCCCCAGCACCCCACGCAGCGTCCTTCGTCCGTCGTATGCGGGGAAGGACGGTAGCAGATTCTCGAAGCCAAGCCGCAGCGATGGCAACGGCACCTCGCTCGCAGTCGTCCGCTCTCCCCATGTGATTCCACCATTCCGCGGTACATTTTCGCCGCCTTATGCCTACTATTTAAATCTCCCCGCGCTCTCTCTTCCGGGCATCGTTGCGCGGAGTCGCTCTCCCTCCGCGCATCCGCGTCGGCGGCGCAGTGTGGCGAGCGGTGTGCATGGCAGCTCGGTATCTCGCCCGCTCGCGGTCTAGCGCGCTAAAGTCGTCTCCCCAATCCCTCGCTGCTTCTCTGGATGGTCTTGCCACCGCTTTGCACTGTTCAAGACCGAGATCATCTGGCCCTTCCGCTGGAGCTAGTCTTAGCTCTTCGACTGGCTCTATTGGCTTCGCTGATTTCTGCAATGGTGGCGGGGCAAGTGGCAGGAGCGACACGGCAAGCGGCGTTGTTGTTGCGCCCGAATGCGCAACCGCGCGTCCGCTTGTGGCTCCGCCGGTTTCCTCGTTAGGCGCGCCCCACCGCGCTTGCCATCCCGCCGACTTGTGCGGGCCTCAGGAGGCGTCCCCCGCGTGCCGTCTGAGCCCCCCCTTCTCCGCCGTTCCGCCCCGCGCCTTCCACTCGTCCTCTGCTCGTGCGCGGAAACTGCGCGACAAGTGGCAGTCGGTGAGTGGCCGTTTCTCTTGGCTCCCTCCTCCCTGCTCCCCTGTCTGCCACCAACTTTCCGTTGCCCAAGCCATTCCTCACACTTCCCATCTCGCCTTAACACCATGTGGTCCATCCCGCACGCCAGCACGGCATCTCAGAAACATCAGTCAGTCAGGCGCTGAAACAGGCTAAGGCCAACCCGTCCCGCGCGCGGCCCCCAAGCGTGCATGCGTCCAGCCAGCCTTTGCCCCCGTCACCTCCCAGCCAACCATCCGCATGATTCCATATGCCCGCTCCTGCCTCTCGTCCTTGTCCCACACCCTCACACCCCTCCCCACCTCCCGCCTCTCCCCCCCTTTTCCCCCCCTTTTCCCCCCTTTTCCCCCCCTTCCTTTTCCTCGCCCCCCTGCCTGCACAGGCGACCTGTGATGCCGACCAGTCAACAAGCAAGGTGACTTCTCTCCTCCTCTCCTCTCCTTCCCTCCTCCTCTCCTCCTCGCCTCCACCCCTCTGCTCGCTCTCCGCTCTCTGCTCCTCTCACCTTCCATTCGTGTCTTCCTTCCTTACTCTTTCCGCCTCAGTTGCCGCTCCTCTCTCTCCCCTCAAGGCCCACTTCCCACACACACCACCCCCTCTCCCCACACTTTCCTCTCCTCGTTTTTCCACTCTCTTCTATCCCAGCACTCCTCTTTCTTTCTCTCCCCCCCCCCCGCGCCCCCCCCCTCCCCCCTCTTCCCCCCCTTCCTCTCCTCGATCCTCCCCACAGCACCGGCAGTACGAGCGGCGGCAGCAGCGGGCGGCAGCGAACAGGGAGCTGCGGCGGTGGCGGGGGGCGCATGTGGGGGAGGTGCATGTGGACGACGCGCGGTGCGTGCAGGAGGCCCGGCAGTGCGGCATGGATGTGCGCATGCTGTGGGGCAAGGGAGCCACGCCGCACGCTCACGCTATGCCGCATGCATGGGACGCCCATGGCAGCAGCTACTGCCACAGCCAGCAGCAGCAGCAGCGGGAGGAGGAGGAGCAGCAGGGGAGAGAAGCGGAGGAGAGTGAGTGGGAGGAGGGGGGCCTTGGGGGTGGAGGTGGCAAGCAGCCATGGGTGCATCACTGGCAGCAGATGAAGGCACGAGAGATCCAAGAGAGGTAACAGGGGGTGCTTGCTAACCACTGCCTCTTGCATCCATCCTTTTCCATTGCGCCATTCCCACACATGTTTCTCCCCACTGTCCCCACTCTCCCCATTTTCGCCCCTCCTCTCTCCTCCCTCGCCCCTCTCGCCCCTCTCGCCGCTCTCGCCCTCCTAGGCTACGAGACCGCTCCTTCGCAGCAGCTTCCTTCCACTGGGACGGCTCCTTCTCCTCCTCCTTCGCCCACCACCCCTCCTTCGTCCGCTTCTTCCGCTCCGCCCGCCGCAAGCATGGGGGCCCCTCCTCCGCGGGGGCAGCCAGAGGATTCCCGGGCAGATCGTCCGAGTGGCACGAGAGCGGGGACGCGTGGGGCGGGGAGGGCGGGGCGGAGAGGGAGGGGGGTGACTCGGGGTGGTCGCGGGCGGATGAGGCGGAGGCGTGGCGGCGGCAGCAGCAGGTGGACTCGTACATGGACACGGGGGAGGTGGCGTACGACCACATGCGGCACGACCACGACCACGCATCGTTCAGTGAGGCGGACTACGAGCCCTATGGCCAGGGCCAGCAGCAGAACGCGTACTACAAGCGGTGGGCGCCACCCAGAGGCGACCCGTGGGATCGGTTCGGGCGGATATGGCAGGAGGCGGAGAGGATCCGGGTCGAGACGGAGAGGATTCGGAAGGAGAGGGAGGAGAGGGCGTGGAAGGGAGGGGATGCGGGGGGGAGGAAGGCGGAGGGGCTGAGCTGGGAGGAGATGGAGATGCGGCGCCTGCTGGGGCTGCCGGCACAGGGGGCCCTCAACCACGCCTCCCTCAAAGCAGCGTGAGGCCTCTGCCCACTTCTGCACACCTCTATCACTCTGGTCGTCCCTCCTTCCAGCCCCCTTCCTTCTACTCCCCCCCCCCCCCCCTCTGCCCTTCTTTCGCCCCACCGCCTTGATTCCTCGTCATGAGTGGTTTCTGTTAACACTGTAAATACCATAGAGGGCAGGTACCACCGCCTTGATACCATTCACTCCGTGTCCTGCCTCCAGCCACTCCAGAGCTTCTCTGTGTGAACCCCCTGGCTGGAGCAGGTACCACCGGTGTGCGAAGCAGTGGCATCCGGATGCGCAGCACGCAATGGGGCAAGAGGGCAGTGTGAGTCGGGGGCGGGCAGCGAGAGCACAGCGCACAGGGGGGCCCCACTGCTAGCTGCACGTGCTGCCTGCACTTGCACCTTGTGTGAAGCGTAGAGAATGCCATGTGTTTATGGCCCTCGCATCTGCTGCCCCTCACATCTGCTGCCCCTCACATCTGCTGCCCCTCGCATCTGCTGCCCCTCGCATCTGCTGCCCCTCGCATCTGCTGCCCCTCGCATCTGCTGCCCCTCGCATCTGCTGGCCCTTGCATCTGCTGGCCCGTCGCATGCCTCTTTCCCCTCTTCTGCTCCTCGCATCCCGCACTTCGCTGCATCACTTGCCGGTTCGCCGCCTCTGCTACCTCTTTCGCTTCCCTCCCCTACTGCCCTTGCATGTCCCTGATGTCCGTGACTAAGTCTTGCTCGTCCTTCTTCCTCTCTCTCCCCAGGCCGAGGCAGAGCGGCAATTCAAGCTCATCTCAAGTGCCTAAGAGACGCTCGTTGCGCGCCTGGCCAAGTGATGTGATGCTCACTGCCCTGCTGCCCGTGCGTGTCCCTGATGTCCGTGACTAAGTCTTGCTCGTCCTTCTTCCTCTCTCTCTCTCTCCCCCCCTGCCTCTCCCCAGGCCGAGGCAGAGCGGCAATTCAAGCTCATCTCAAGCGCCTATGAGACGCTCGTTGCGCGCCTGGCCAAGTGATGGCATGCACACACTGCCCTGCTGGTCGTAGTGATTAGAGCATGCATGCATGCATGCTTGCATGGATGCAGCACACACATACACACACACACGCACGTATGCACGGCACGCACACACTCACATGTACATGCAGTGACGCACACGTGTGCCTGCTCGCACTCAAGCCCCAACTCGCACTCCGTCCTGCCATGTCCTGGCCCAAGCACTGTCACATTATCTCATCAAAGCATGCAACACTCCTGCCACCTCTGCTGTTTCCCTCCCACACACACTCCACTGTTGGCATAAGCATGTTCCGTAGAATTGCTGTACTCACTAAGGATATACTACCGTTTTAGGGCTTGTTACTACGGCCCCGTATTCAACTAACCTAGGTTGGCAGTGTACAATTCGCTTGTTCTTGATGTGCTGCACCCACACCCAACCCAACCATCCAAAGGTAATCCGTATTTCCAGGCATCCCAGCAGAGAGGAGCAGTAATTCAAAATCATCGCTGGGAGCAGTAGAGAAGCAGTCCGCTGCATGAGCGGGAGATTCAGAGCAGCAATAGCTGCACCTATGAATGGTTGCAAGTGATCTATAAACGTCACACATGTAGTCACTACAGCATGCGCAATGACCTAAGGGCCCTGAAAGGCAGGGCAAACAATGGAAATCGGACCTAACGGTATAACCTATGTGCTTCTTAGCAAAATGGCAGGAGGCCTTATGCCATCACTATTTGAAAGGGCGCCAAGAGTCCATACTTGAGGTGCTAAGGAGAAGCCAAGGCGGCTGGTTGGGAGCAAGGGTTTCATGGCATGGAAAGCAGTATAAATACCGTATGCTGGCCAAACCAGACCGCCATCTGCTCCCTTCTCCCATGCAAGCGCAATCCACGCACCAAGGGGTTGCGTTGTGTGCATAACATGTGCTGCTTTGCTGCCCAAGCGCGACAGCACAAGCATGCTGCGGCCGCATCACGGCTCCCACCGTCAGCTCAGTTCAGTGGTCTCTGGCATGGAATCGCGGGTGCCATGAGTGCATGCACATGCGTGTGTCCTCATCGTAGTATATCAACCCATGCCGCCTAAGGCGCTCTGCCTTGGCCTCTCGCCCTGACAGTACATGGCGTGGCAACAAGGGAGGGTGGTGCAGCATGTGAGAAAAGAGACACACACACGAGGCAGCAGCTGCCAAAAGCACGCTGTTAAAATTCAACCAGACAATGATGCCATGACAATGATGCCATGACTATGATGCAATGACTATGATGCCATGACTATGATGCCATGACTATGATGCCATGACTATGATGCCATGACTATGATGCCATGACTACGATGCCATGACTACGATGCCATGACTACGATGCCATGACTACGATGCCATGACTACGATGCCATGACTATGATGCCATGACTATGATGCCATGACTATGATGCAATGACTATGATGCCATGACTATGATGCCATGACTAAGATGCAATGACTATGATGCAATGACTATGATGCCATGACTATGATGCCATGACTATGATGCCATGACTATGATGCCATGACTATGATGCCATGACTACGATGCCATGACTACGATGCCATGACTACGATGCCATGACTACGATGCCATGACTATGATGCCATGACTACGATGCCATGACTATGATGCAATGACTATGATGCCATGACTATGATGCCATGACTATGATGCCATGACTATGATGCCATGACTATGATGCCATGACTATGATGCAATGACTATGATGCCATGACTATGATGCAATGACTATGATGCCATGACTATGATGCAATGACTATGATGCCATGACTATGATGCCATGACTATGATGCCATGACTATGATGCCATGACTATGATGCCATGACTATGATGCCATGACTACGATGCCATGACTACGATGCCATGACTACGATGCCATGACTATGATGCCATGACTACGATGCCATGACTATGATGCCATGACTATGATGCCATGACTATGATGCCATGACTAAGATGCAATGACTATGATGCCATGACTATGATGCCATGACTATGATGCAATGACTATGATGCCATGACTATGATGCCATGACTATGATGCCATGACTATGATGCCATGACTAAGATGCAATGACTAAGATGCAATGACTATGATGCCATGACTACGATGCCATGACTATGATGCAATGACTATGATGCCATGACTATGATGCCATGACTATGATGCCATGACTATGATGCCATGACTATGATGCAATGACTATGATGCCATGACTATGATGCAATGACTATGATGCCATGACTATGATGCAATGACTATGATGCCATGACTATGATGCCATGACTATGATGCCATGACTAAGATGCAATGACTATGATGCCATGACTATGATGCCATGACTATGATGCCATGACTATGATGCAATGACTATGATGCCATGACTATGATGCCATGACTATGATGCAATGACTATGATGCCATGACTATGATGCCATGACTATGATGCCATGACTATGATGCCATGACTATGATGCCACGACTATGATGCAATGACTATGATGCCATGACTATGATGCCATGACTAAGATGCAATGACTAAGATGCAATGACTATGATGCCATGACTATGATGCCATGACTAAGATGCAATGACTATGATGCCATGACTATGATGCCATGACTATGATGCAATGACTATGATGCCATGACTATGATGCCATGACTATGATGCCATGACTATGATGCAATGACTATGATGCCATGACTATGATGCCATGACTATGATGCCATGACTATGATGCCATGACTATGATGCCATGACTATGATGCCACGACTATGATGCAATGACTATGATGCCATGACTATGATGCCATGACTATGATGCCATGACTATGATGCCATGACTATGATGCAATGACTATGATGCCATGACTATGATACCATGACTATGATGCCATGACTATGATGCCATGACTATGATGCAATGACTATGATGCCATGACTATGATGCAATGACTATGATGCCATGACTATGATGCCATGACTATGATGCCATGACTAAGATGCAATGACTATGATGCCATGACTATGATGCCATGACTATGATGCCATAACTATGATGCAATGACTATGCCTGGGGCCCATATCACCAGAAGCAGCGTACCAGCAATGACCCCATTGTGCAGTGTGATGCATCCCAGGCGGTGGCAGGCGGCGGCAGCATTGCGCGAGCGCCAGATGGAGTAGACAGCACCGTTGGGGAAGTGCTGGCGGTCCAGGAACAGCACTCTCAGGTGCTTGCCCCACCGGCACTCGTCCCTCCCCACCTGTGACCGTCCAGACAGACATGGGGAGAATGAGGAACAGGTGTGGGACTATGGGCGCGCAGGTAGCAGCAATGCACACCCAGGCAGGCCACAACTGACTAGCGCACTCTCCTTCCCTTCCCCACCTCCTCCATCGCTCACAGCCCACTCCCTCCCATCGCCAAAGCCTCCCCCTCTTCATGGCGCACCTTGAGCTCGCCCCTCTCCCCACACAGCACGTCGTATGCCGACCGGTGCTCCTCCACCTCCACCCCGCCCACCCGCCCAGCGCCGCCATCTCCACTGCCCTCGGTGCCGGCAGCGCTGTCCGCCTGCGCCTCTGCTCGCACCGCTGCTGCGTACGCCGCCACGGCCTCGAGGGCTTCCAGCGTGGGACGGTCCGCGTGCGCAAACATGAGCCCCCCGCCTATGCTGCGCACCCCATTGCCCGCACGCCGGCGACTCGTCTCTGCGCTCTGTGGGGTTGGAGAGAGGGGTTGCCATGGGATGGGATGCAGGGGCGCACAGTTAGCGGAGATGGGGGAGGGGAAGGTAATGGGTGGGAATGTAAGGGACGAAAGATAGTGGGGAGGGAGAGAGAGAAGGAGGACGAGAAGGTAACTGGATGAAGGGGAAGGGAAGGGAGGAGAATATTGAAAGGGGAGGAGGGGTGAGGAGGGAACGGTGGAGAATGAGGGGAAATGCAGAGGGAAGGAATAGGCAGAGGCTTAGGAGGAAGGAGATGGGTCGGATGGGCGAGGTGGAAGGGAGGAAAAGGCAAGGCGACACAAATGGGCATGGAGAGAGTAACAACTGACCTGCACAGAGAGCACATTGGGTCCGAGTGAGAGGAGGTGCGGCAGGGGGTTGCTGAACCACACGGCATGCACATCGGACCACAGCACGGAGTAGCCAAGTCTGAGCACATGCACCGATATTGCCACCACCGCCGACGCCACCGACCCTGCTGCCTCCGCCTCCTCTGCTGCTGCTGCTGCCTCTTGGCAGGAAGATGAGGGGGAGGAGGCAGGGCACGGCTTGGAGGATGCGAGGGAGGAAGAGGAGGGGGGGGAGCGAGGGGCGGAGGAGGAGTGGAGAAAGACCGGGAGGCCCTGCAGGAAGGCGGAGGAGTACATGTCGGCATCCAGCGCTGCCAGCATGAAGTTGGTGATCTCCAGCCGCCGCAACCTGGGGACGCGCCAGGGGGTGGGGGTGGGGAGGAGTGGCGGAGGTGGGGGAGGGAAAGGGAAAGCAGGAGGGGAAAGGGGGTTGGAAAATAGGGTGGTGGCATGGAGGGGATGGACATGCAGATGGTGGATGGGAGAGAGGGGTGGGACCGTGGGGCCTTGGAAAGAATATGAGGTAGGGGTGGAATGGCCATACCAGGCATATGGGCATGGGCATGATGACGTTAGTGTGGCTCGTCGAGCTATGCTATTCTCCAACACGTGGTGCATAACTCAGTAAGAACCTTCTTCTTCTTCTTCTTCTTCTTCTTCTTCTCTTACAAGTGTCCTGCATGCCATTCTCACAACAGCTGCACTGTGCGTTCTTCCCTGCTTCCACCACAAACAAAGTTCCCCTGCTCTCATTCTGTTCCCCATTCTCCCTTTCCCCCCCCCCCCCCCCTCCTCCTCCCCCCAGCCTTCTAGCACCCCATGTCTCACTCACATGCAGATAAAGTTGAGCGTCGCGGTTCTGTCCTTGCTGCCCGCCACCAGTAGCACCACGGTCTGGTGTCGGTCTGACACGCGCGGCAGCAGCTGCTCCAGCGTGTGCGGCATGCCCTCCACGCCGCGCCAGAACGCCGCACCCGCCAGCGCGCTCTCGGCCATGGCGTCCAGAGGGGACGACGACGACGGCAGCTGCAGCAGCGACGCGATGCGCTGCCGCACCGCCATGGGGGACGGGGTGGAGGACGATGAGGACAGTGGGGAGGAAGAGGCAGAGCGGTTGCTGGAGGAGAAGGAGGACGAGGACGAGGAGGAAGAAGAAGAGGAGGTGGTAGCGGTGGTGGAGGAGGACGAGGAGGAGGTGAGGAGGGTGGCGGTGGTGGTGGGGATGGAGGAGTGGGAGGGGGCGGGCTGGATGTTAAGGGCGAAGGACTCGGGGGGCAGGGAGCGCAGGCGGCCGCAGAACCACCAGGTGCCGTCGTGCAGGCGGATGTCCTCCGACGTGTGGCGCGCCAGCGGCGCATGCTCGCACGTGCAGTTGCCGGGCCGCCGCCGTCGCAGCAAGCACATGGACTCGCCTGCCATATGAGGGGCGCGCGGAAGGGACGGGGGGGGGGAGGAGGGGGGAGCGCGGGATGGATGGGGCGTGAAAAGAGAGTGGCAGAGGGTGGGAAGAGCAAGAGAGGCTGGGGAAGGGAGGGGAAGAAGAGAGGGGGCGACGAGGACGACAGAGAAGGTAGGGTGCAATGGGTGGTGGTTCTAGGCTGAAAACGGAGAACTGGGAATCATAGGCGGTCACTATTGGGAAAGGGGTTGGGAAGAAACCTGAGAGGGGTGTGTGATGGGGGAAGGACGACCGATTCGGGAAAAAGTGGGTCTGTGGTTCAGTGATCACTGGAAGCGTCACACGAATTGGCCACTGTACGGGTGTGTGAATTGGCCACTGTACGGGTGTGTGAATTGGCCACTGTACGGGTGTGTGAATTGGCCACTGTACGGGTGTGTGAATTGGCCACTGTACGGGTGTGTGAATTGGCCACTGTACGGGTGTGTGAATTGGCCACTGTACGGGTGTGTGAATTGGCCACTGCTGTGGGTCACTAGCAAGCACAGCTGCAGCTGTGTCTCGAGACCACTTTCCTGTCTTTGTCCACATCAGAAATCGACCAATCCCTTGCCTTTTCATGCGTGCATCTTCCTCGTTTCCACATCTCTTACCCCCCCGGTCCACCTCAACCCCCCAAGCCCACCTTGCGGGTCGAAGCAGGGTGTGAGGCGCCAGGGCGCGTGGCCCGGCGTGCCCAGCAGTTCGGAGAAGGGCGTGGGGGAGAGGAATCGCGCCATGTGCATGTTGGCGTACACCTCCCACCCCTTCACGTTCTTCCGCGGCAGCGGGTGCCACCGCAGCAGCTCCTCCTCCGCCTCCTCCCCCTCCTCCTCCTCCGCCTTCTCCCGCTCCTCCGCGCTCGCGCCTTCCCCCGCAGGCCCCCGCCGCTGCCACCAGGCGCGCTGCACGCGCGGCTTTTTGGGTTGGGGGAACTCTTCCATGGCTCGCTCGCGCACCATCTCCACCTCTTTCTGCACATCCAGCGCCGAGAACACCCGCACTGCCGTCACCGAGTCGCTCGCATCCACCACCTGCCGTATTCTGCTGTTGATCCGAATCTCATTCATCCCCTGGTTGTGCCCTTTCCGCCCCGCTCCCCCGCTACCGCTACCCGCGCTATCTGCGCCAGCCCCCGCCCCTGCCCTGTCCGCTTCCCCCTCGTTTGCCCCCGCGGCGGACGCCATGTGCACGAGCCAGCGCTCGTACGCCCCCCGGCCGAGGAAGAAGGGCGGAACGGTGGCGTTATCGGGTAAGAGGGAATCCGCGGGACGGTTCCAGAGAAAAGCCCCCACCCCCCCGCCTATGTTCAACTGGCCGCGACGGCGCACGAAGTCTCTGATCTTCTGCTCGTCCACCGGCTGCGGAGACGCCGCCTCGGACCCTAGCGACGACACCACTGCCGATGCGGAAGCGGCGGCGTGCTTTCTTTGAATGGAGGGAGGGAGGCCGTCTAAGGGGAAGCGGAAGGAATGGACGTCCCAGGAGGCCATGAGAATCATGAAGGACGGAAACCGCGCAGCCACTTTGCGCGCAGCGAAGAACATGTCGTTGAATAGGAGCACGTCGGGATCCACCAGCATGACCATGTCGCATAGGGAGGCAGTGTGTAACGAGGAGGAGGAGGAGGTGGATGAGGAGGAGTGGTGCGCAGGAGGGGACTGCGCGGACGGCAAGCTCTCCGCTTGTATCCGCGCGAGGACGGAGTTTAGCAGCGGCGCGCCCTCTAGATTCACGTCCACGTCGCCCTCGACTGTCACGTGGTCCGGGAACTCCGCCGCGAGGGCATCGAGCGACGGGTGCGAGCCGAGGAGCACCACCCGGGGGACGGGGTGTAGCCGCAGCCACGACAGCAGCGCGCGACGATGCGCGTACGTCGTTACGTTGTAGGCGGTGGGGGCGGAGAATATCGTGAGCCGAGGACACGTGGAGGAAAGCGGGGAGGCTATCGACGAGGCGGAGGGAGTGGAGGAGGAAGAAGCGGCGGAGGTGGCAGAGGAGGAGCTCGGGGGAGAGGGGCTGGAAGGGGAGGAGGAAGAGGAGGAAGAGGAGGAGGAGGAGGAGGAGTGGTGGGAAACGGAGGACCACGCGGATGGCATGTCACTGCTTTGAATGAGTACTCTTTGTATACTTGTGCCAGACTGGGTATTGCACGACGTGGAACGGCCACCGTGTTTCGAGGGATCGCAGGATCGCAGGTTGTCGTGGAACCGGCCCACGGAGCTGAGCGTCCACATGACGGTCAGGCACAGAACCACCACGGGAGCGCGCCGCCCGAGCCCCAAGGCGCGCACCGCGGCTGACAAGCTGCGGAGCTTGGGTAGGTGCGAGAGGTGTTGGACGAGGACGGGGGGCATCCATGGCGGCCACCGCGGCTTCATGGGGGACGAGGGGTGGTGAAGGCGACGATGATGGGTGCTGGTGACGTGGTGGAGCGGAGCCAAGTTGCCGCTGCTCCCACGGCTAGAATGTTGATGCTGCTCGGGATCTTCGCTATTACTGCTTAAAGGATGATCAGTGGTCAGTGGTTGGTGATGATGATGGCGATGTTCACCATGTGCTTCGCGATGACGGAAACCGACGCTAATCACGCCGCTCGTGAGATCGTCTCTACTCGTTCAGATGGCAGGATTAACACGGGTGTTGCTGGGGGCGAGCTCTACCCACTCTGAAGCTCCCGTCGAATCTAGGAATCAACATGCTGACTCAACGTCGACCACTGTTAGGTAAAAATACGGAAAGTCGAACAACAGCGGAGGTCGTAGGTTACCGTTCCCGCTGCAAGTTGTGGGTAAAGCCCAATCACTTGCACTAGCCTAAAACACAAATACTGTGGTTAGTTGTAGACAACACAGCGACCTGTGACCTCGCCTGAGATTGAACAATTTAGGTTTTTTAGGTGCACTGGGAAGGATATGCTGCTAGGTGGTGAAGTTAGGCTTGTGCAGGTGAAGTTGAGAACTGGTTCAAGGGCTTGGTAGGTAGAGGTCGGGGGAAGGAGAGACTCGAGGCGACCTCTCCTCTCCTCCCGCCGACGGCTCACGACAACGCTGTACTGTACAGTACACCAGGCCAACAGCCACGCCTTCCCCCCTCCCTTCCCCCCCTCACTCCCCCCCTTACCGAAACCATCCGCCTTGCGCCAAATCCGCAAACGCTGTGACCCGCTCCGCCTTTCCTTTTTCCGCCATTCAGTGCATCGTTCCGCTCCAAGACAGAATACACCTGTTCCACGTTGTGGTCCTCGGACAAACAGTCCAAATTGCAATTCTCGCCAGCTCGTGTCCCCCTACGTCAGTCCATCCCACCAGGTACCGAGATGAACCGCATTGAACCCCAAAGTCAGGTCGAAATGTTCAATATTTTGACCAAGAGTTGCTGTGCAATTTCTGGGCTAGTGTCCCATTTGCGCGTGGTTCGAAAGTTTCTGGAAAAAGGCTCAAGCCGCGTGAAAATAATTTTCTTTTAAAGCGTAGAACAGGTGTAAACGGGAGCTTGCGGCTGTCCGCGGGCTGTTTGGTTTGCGAGATCCCTGCGACCGACCAATGACGATGGCGCAACTTTGTGATCTTATGGTGAACGTCCTTGTTACCAAGCCTGCACAACGTTTGTTTGGGCCTGTCTTGTTCCGTGTCCATCCAAAGATCGCTCAGGGTCCTCCAGCCTGATTGATCACTGAGCAAGGAGGTGCCTGCCCGGCTCAGCTTTCCCATCGGCTCATTTCCATCGCCCCTGTGAAATAATCATTTAATTCTTCTGCCCGTGATCGAACCACACCATCCGAACCGTCGAAGGGCAATTGAAGGGCACTTGATAAGTGCCCAGCTCGCAGAACTTCCCGCAGCTAACACTACTGGCTGGGGTAGAACAAAGTGGAGTCGTTCCAGGGGAGGGAGAACAGAGGAAAAGGGGGTTTGGGGAAGGCTTCTCCTTCACCATTTGCAGTTGTTGTGACCTGTTTGCAATGAGTTCTTGCGACCGAGTTTCCACTCAATATGAGGGCCTGTTTTTAAGCGACATAATGTCACATTACTTCGTGTCAAACTTGTCCTCACGGGCAAATTTGACGTGCAAAATCCCTCATGACAAGATAGAGCCTGAGATCCTGTCACTTAAGAATAGGTCCTCGTTAAACACTGTTTCGGTTTTGCGTACAGTTGGACTGCCCGCGATCTGTTCTGTGCTCCAAACAGAAAGGGAGGGAGAGTCGTACTCGTCGTCTTCGTATGATGCTGGAAATTTGGTGTCCTGTGCACGACAAAATACAAGCAACTTTCGTCTGAGACTTCATTTCACAAACAGAAAATTTCGCAGAGAAAAACATCGCGGAAACCCCATGGATTCGAATCCCCAGGCAAGGTCTGGAAAATCCGGAACCCTAAAATTCTAATTACGATCCGCGTGAAGGGGGGGCGTCGAACGGCCTAGTATCGGGTATGGAGTAGCGGAAGACCTGAATAGCAAGTAGTGCTAAAGATGCATGCTAAGCATATAGAGGCGAAAAGCACGGCGTCAAATTGGTTTTTAAGCCAATCGTCGCATCCGAGTTCCCTACCAAAGCAACCCGTTAAATTCCGGCGTACCCATCAGACTCCGTTTTTCGGCCAAAATTGTCCGAAACCGATACCTAAAGCCCGTTTTCGAGCCAAAATCGACCAATTAGCCAGCGTGTTCAGACAAAATCAAATCCGTAATAAACGGGAGTTCGCGGTCAAAACTGTCAAACATATATGCATATGTTAATTTAGGCTAGATAGGTGCGTACTCTTCGAGAGAACAACCCCTTAGACAAAACAATCCTGTATCTCACATTATAGCTAACAATTTTACCCTTAGATGGTATCACGCGCTATGTTAGGTCCTCCCCACCCACCCGCGCTTCCGCTCTAATCCTAGCCCTAGCCGCCCGTTCCTAGCCCCCGTCGCTAGCCGCCCTTCGCTAGCCGCCCCTCGCCGCTCGTAGCTGCCCATAGCCTCGCCCCCGCTAGCTCCGCGCTCGCCAGCCCCGTACCCGGTGACCCCGAGCTCGCCAGCCCAGTGCCTGCTGGCCCCGCATCTGCCAGCCCCATGCCCGCCAGCCCCACGCCCGTCGGCCCCGCGCTCGCCAGCCCCGCGCCTGCTGGCCCCTCACCCGCTCACCCGCGCCCGCTGGCCCTGATTTCGCCAACCCCGCGCACGCTGGCCCCGCGTTCGCCAGCCCTGCGCCCACCAGCCCTGCGCCCGTTGGCCCCGTGCCCCCTAGCCCCGCGTTCGCCAGCCCCGCGCCTGTTGGCTTCGCACCCGCTCGCTCCGCGCCCGCTGGCCCCGACTTCGCCAGACTCGCGCCCGCTGACCTCGCGTTTGCCAGCCACTCGCCGCCGGCCCCGTGCTCTCTGGCCCTGCGCCCGCCAGCCCCTGCGCTCGCCAACTCGCACTTGTTGGCCCAGCGCCCGCTAGCCCTGTGCCTGCTGGCGCTGCGCCCGCCCGTCCTGCGCTTGCCTGCCCTGTTGCCCCGGCCCTGCACTCCGACCGGCCCCAGCTCCGTCGACCCCAATCCACTGGCCGCAGCTCGATCGGTCCCAGCCCGCCCCGGCCCATCCTACCATCGAGCCGAGCTGACTTGCCAACCTTGGCTCCCCCTTTGAGCCGGCACTCTCGTCGACAAGCTCCACCGCTCTTCACCGCCCTCCACCGCTCTCCACCGAACTCCATCGCACCCCACCGCACTCCACCGCACTCCACCGCTCCCCATTGCTCTCCGCCTCCCTCCTCCACACTCCCTCCTCCCCTTGTGAGCAGCAAGCAGCTGCTGCAGCCATGGTGATGGCGGACTCTCTGCTCCCCCTGGACGTGGAGGGTCGGGCTGTTGAGTTTGAGGCATGGCTCGTCGATTTCGCCGTCAGCAGACCGATCAGCGCCAGGACGGCCACTCCCTGGCCGTCCATGTCGACAGTAATCTCCCTCGCCCCGCCAAGCCTGCTGCCCTCTCTGACGCCCCCACGTTTGTTGAGTGTCAGGCTTTTCTTGCTACTGAGCTTGCCTGCATTGTCTGGGAGTCGCGCGATGCCGTTGCACAGCTTGCCATTAGTCACGCCCTCCCCTTGTCTGAGCGTCCCCGCTTTATTATTGTAGTAAACGCCAAGGAATACTTAGATGCTGTCATCGCGCACTATTCTACTCCCTTCTCAGCCTCTGCCGACCGTCTAATCCTTCCCATGTTGTTCCCTAGACACTGCGTCCCCCCCGATGGGAGCATCCCTCCAGGTCGTTGCGTCCATCTCGGTTGCAACAGCTTGCTCGTGTCGGTCGCTCACTCAACCGGCGCTGTTGTGGCACCACCCGCGTCTGCGTCACATGTTCCATCACGGTCTTGTCTTCGCTCTCCCTGCGTCGCTCCCTGCCCTACCTCCCTCGCCTGCACCGCCATGCACGCCCTGCGTCGAGGGCCAGCTGCGCCCTGCGTCGAGGGCCGGCTACGCCCTTTGTCGAGGGCCGGCTGCGCTGTGCTCCTCACTCCTCATTGCTTCCTCGACCACTGCGCCACTCCACACCCTGCACCTGGACGTTTGGGGCCCAGCCTCCGTCCCTAGGCCGCGTCAAGTGCACTACTTTCTAATGCTTGTCGACGACTACACGCGCTACACCACGGTGTTTCCCATGGAGCGTAAGGCCAACATGCCTGACGTTCCTATCCCGTCAATCGTAGCTGTGCGAGTCCACCACGGCCTCCCTGTGCTGCATCTTCACTCCGACCATGGCGGCGAGTTTGCCTCTAGTCGCCTTGGCCAATTCTGTCGTGCGGAGGGCATCACCCAGTCGTACACCCTGCTGGACTCCCCGCAGCAGAATGGGGTCGCTGAGGGACATATCGGTTTGGTCATGGAGGTGGATCGTACCCCCATGATCCACGTTGGTGCACCCCATTTTCTGTGGCCGTTCGTTGTTTGCTACGTCGCTCACCAGTTTAACATGTGGCCGCACTCCCAGCAGTCGCAAGTTTCGCCGATCGTTCTTTGGACTGGGTTCCATGGTGATGCGTCTACGTTCCACGCCTGGGGATGCCTTGCTCACGTTCGTGCCTCCAGCACGGACCAACTCACTGCTTGCACCGTTCCTGGTGTCTTCCTTGATTTCCCTCTCGACGCGTCTGACTGGCACTTCTACCACTCGCCATCTCACCATTTCTTTCACCCTTGTAACGCCACTTTTGACGAGTCTGTCTCCTTCTACACCTGCTTTCCCCACCGAGGTCTTCGGTTGCCCCGCCCTTGTTTCTGGTCCTCACTCCCCCGCTAGCCCCTACTCCTCTTCCTCCTTGTCCTGCCCCGTCTGGTATGTCTAGTTGCTAGTTGCTGAGGAAACACACCTGCACTCACCTAGGAGAGCTGCGCCGGTACCTTGGCTTACAGATCTCCTGAAACAAAGCAGCGCGCACCATCACTCTCACACCGTCACAGTTGGTGCGCCAGATCATTCAGAGGTTCGGTCTTCAGTTCTCCTCCGCACAGCCCACACCTCTGCTAGTAGATCACAGGCTCTCAGCTCCAGTTCCTGAGGAGTCAGTAGAGCCCAATAGTCCATATGCAGAGCTAGTGGGTTGCCTCATGTACCTGATGACTTGCACTCGTCCAGATCTCGCATACCCTCTCAGCATCCTGGCTCGCTTTGTGGCCACAGGCAGACACCGACCACAGCACTGGTCGGCCGCTAAGAGGGATTTGCGTTATCTAGCAAGTACATCGCACATGGGGCTAGTGCTAGGAGGACACAGGTCAGTGGTCCTTACAGGGCACACAGACGCTTCGTGGACAGTCGACGCTGAGACGCTCAGGTCCTCCCAGGGCTACTGCTTTAGCCTTGGTTCAGGTGCCATCTCATGGAGGTCTACTCGCTCATCGTCTATTGCCCGGTCTAGCTGTAAGGCTGAGATCTAGCCGATGCCATGGCGGCACAGGAGCTCCGTTGGCTGAATTTCTTCCTCACATAATAAGGTGAGTGGCCTAGCTCTGCCTCGGTCCTGTACGCTGACAACAAGGCCATGATCCTCCTATATCAGGAGCCTCGACTCGAGGGCAGAGCAAAGCACATCCAGCTGCGGTACTTCCTCCTGCGCGAGCTACAGCAGCGCCGCCAGGCTCGCGTAGTTCAGTTGGCCTCCAGTGCCAACGCAGCTGATATGTTTACGAAGGCACTTTGTCGGCAAATGTCCTTCCCTTTCTGCCTCCCCCATTTCTCTCTGCGGGATGGCGGTCAGCCTCCCTCCCTCCTTAACGCACTCCTCTTCCTCCTTCTCTACTACTCTTTGACTTGCCTCTCCGACTGTTTCTTCGGCACCCTGCTAAATCTACCTCTGCCCTGCTCTGCCAACCCACTTGCCCCCTCCCAGCGGTTTCCCGCTCCTGCCTAGCCACGGGGAAGCTCGTGAGCAAGACGCATGCCTCTGGCCGGAGCCAGCGTCTCTAGCACCAGGACCCCAGACGGCTTCACCTCCTTTACCCTCCAGCGCTCTATCGTCAGACCCACGTCGAGCTGATCATGCTTGGCCCTCCTCAGATATACCTCCTGCCCTGGCTCCATGGCGGCCCCTTTGTAGACTCCTCCCTGCTGCTGCCGCTGCTGGTACCGTCTGGCGTCTCGTAGCTGCGCTGTGTGGAGGTTCTCCAAAGCGGCTGGTAGCAGCGCCTTCAGGTACCGTGCTCGTGCCTCCGCTAGGGCCACCCATTTCTCTGGCTCTTCGACGACCACGACATCCCTCAGCAGCTTGGGTGCGTCCACCGGCAGAATTGGTTCCCTCCCGAATAGCAGGTAGTAAGAGGAGAGGTCCCTCAGTGCCACCTACTTGCTAAAGTGGTACCCCGCCGCGATCCATTGTAGCTCCTCATCCCAGCTCCTTTTGTTCCCCTCTCCGTATGCCCTCAGTCCATGCTTCAGGGTCTGCACCATCCTTTCTGTCAGCCCATTCCCCTGGGCATGGTACCTCGACGTGTGTCGGTGCGTAATTCCCACCTCCCCCAGCGTCTTATCGAAGGCTCCCAGGAACTCTGTGCCTTGATCGGTAACCACCTCTCCGCAGGCCCCGAATCAGGTCAGAACTTGATCCACAAAGGCCTCGGCCACCAACGTCGAATTCTTGATGCGTAGGGACCGCACCTCTACCCACTTTCTTGCATGCTTGATCATCACTAGGATGTATTTCTTGCCCTTCTTGCTCACCGGTAGCTCCCCTGCCATGTCTAGTGACCAGTGGAAACCTGACTCCTGCACCAGTCCATGTCCAATTTGCGAGGTGTACTCTGTTGCGGCTTGTTTGTTGAAAGTCTTACGGCCACCGCGTCCTGCTAGTCAAGCTACGCCATATCCTCTCCCTCAATGGTCCCCTGCCTGAGAACATATCACTTGGGTTAAGTGATGCTTTATTCAACTTGTGCAAGAAACAAACAAGCGAGCAGGATTCAGAGCACTAGCAGCTACTCTATATTCAATTGCTACTACTAGGCAAAGGATCCTGTGAAGCGGGATGGATCCCCGTCCTGTCAACCGCTTCAGGCATGCTATACTATGGTACACATTTGCAAGCATGCACACATCATTCCTGTACAAGCTCCTTCCAACGCCTCCCAGCCTGATCCCTTGGTCATACCGAATGCACTCCACTCACCCAATCAGGACCGTGCTACCATGGGGCCACCCAGCTGTCCCTACTTCTCGGTATGGTTGTTGATGGCTTGGTCCGGACCGATTCCTGCCGAACCCTCATTCTCGCGAACAATCAATTCCCTCTTCTCCAGCTACACCCTGATACTCCATTCCATTCGCTTATAACTCTGTCGCCGCAATGGGAAGCAACCCAGTTCTGTGACAACTTTCGCCTGAAGATCATCAGCGACCTTGTGTACAAGCTTGGTCTAGTTCCTGTAGCTTCTCACTTGCTAGGACCTTGATGGTATACTATATCTTATATTACGTTGACTGGCCTTTGGCTCCTGTTCCAGTGGCTGGACTAGTAGTGCCGCTCTGGGTTACTCTAGTTTAGTTTGTACTCTTACTGACTGGTCTTCGTACCCTTGCCTCAGAGGTTGGACTAGTATTGCCACCTTGAGCGGCATGTCTCTTGCCGGCACTGCCCCTCATCTAGCCTAGGGGGTGTGTCAAACATATATGTATATGTTACTACCGGCTAGATAGATGCGTCTCTTAGAGAGTATAACCCCTTAGACAAAACCATCCTGTATCTCACATTCTAGCAAACAATTCTACTCTGAGAAAAATGACCCATTAAAGTATCAAAATCCGAGTAATAACCCATCAAACATAGGCCTGACAAAAAGGCGCAATAGTTAACAACTAATGTTGTGGGTTAGATTGTCCGTCTACAGGTTAAGAGGGTTAGCGCTAGCTGGAGAAGAGGTTAACAACTAACAACTACAGGTCCGTCCTGGGGGGTAATGGGTGCGCTACCCACCACAACAACATGCCCTTTTAACCTAGTCAGTAGCGGGCTGGGCCAACAGTGCATGCTTATTCCAACAAGTGACTTGGCAGATGGCAGATATTTTCCTTACACCACTCCCCCTCTAGAAAGTCCCCTCAACGAAAGTGCACCCACTCTCGCAGAGGGCGCTCTCGCAAATACACGCAAGAGGGGGGAAGTCTTAACATCCTCCTGGGGTACCCTGCTGTATTTTGTTATCGTCCTATCCTTCCATCGAACCAGGAACTCGATGGCCTTCTGTGGGCAGAGCGGATTAGTAATCCGCCGAAAACGAAACTTTTGTAAGAAGCAAGTACTTTTTATCTAGGCTTGGTGACACGCTGAAAGGGTTCGGCAGAAACCAGACATCCTAGCATAACTTGTACACCCTCATGCGAGGGGTGTACAAGCCACATTCAAACGGTGTACTAGCGTTACAATGCTTTGTCAAAACAGCCCAACCAGGCAAAAGGCCACACAACTTTTGTGGGGGCCGATACAGCCTCACGAGGCCATTCTGGACCTGCACAAGTTGTGTGGGGCAGCGTAATTCCGCCCGAAAATTTGGTAGGGATATGGAACCTCAAACCCAAGCTAAGGAAGGAAAAAAAAAGGGTTGAAGGCGATTGGAGGATCTTTAAAAGAAGTTTTGGCGCACTGATTAAATTGCTTATTTGGGGCAACAACAAAATTTATTATTGCTCGGGCCAAAGTCTCACTTCCCTTTCCCATCCGCCTTCGCTTGTTCACTCGTAACTTTAGCAGGCTTGGTGGGCTTGGAAGGTGCTGGCTTAGTTGCCTTCTGCACAACTTAGTGCGGGGCCCCAAATGCCTGCAGAACGAAGCCGATGTGGTGATTAAATAGTCTGTTCGTGTTTATTATCATTTCAACTAGGGGTCGAGTCAGTAAATTAGGCCGTTCCACGGAAATTACAACGTGTCGGTACCTACCGGTGTAGTAAGCTGACGTGGAACACTGGAATTACCATCGCAATTTGTTGGAAGCCCTACTGCAGCTGCGGGCAGCCAGGCATTGACCAGCTTATGTCGGTGCACGGATTGCCTGGCAGCTGCGGGTCAGAGTGACCTAGGTGCACAGACTGATCCTTGCTACTGAAGACTAAGTCTAGTCTATGTGGACTTGTCCGGAGATGCCCACGACGACTAGTGACTCTGACGAGTCTTGAGTAGTCGTAGCTATCACAATGGACTTCCATGCGGAGCAAGGCAATGTTTGCCTTGCTGGTTGGAGTTGCGTACACGGCAAACCCAACCTTGCTGAGTTGGCTTGGGCAATTGGGCGAGGCGCGTTCGCCCAACCCTTCGGCAATTTCGGTGTGGCTGGTTACACCTGCAGCGCCACGCAACTTTGGTTGGGTTTGCACTTGTTAGAATTAAGGACGGAGTCTAGGTGAACTTAGGAACTAGAATTACTCAAAATATAAATCCGAAATTCTTGACAGAAAAGTCGTCTTCCCAAGAAATAACGTCGACAAACAACTAACCGTTGGAATGTCGCGAAACTTGGATATGTTGTAGCTCTTAATCTCAGCTACCGTTCCCAATTTGAATCACGTTGATTGATGAAGTATTCGCGACGCTATGGCTTTCGACGCATTAGGGGGTAAAGCTGTAGGAGGAGAACTTAACTCAATCTCAAAGGTTCAATCAAAGTTCAAGAATCTCACAAGGAATTAGAGGAGCAAGAGAAAGGTTGGGATAGAAGAGAGGGATGAGAGGGAAGGTCCCAAGAGAGTCCCCAACCAAGGAAACCCCATAAGCACAAAGATTCCCTCCCTATAGGAACCCCAACTTTGACATTTGTCCCTTCCCAACCAATCCATCCAAGTTGGCCACCCTTGCCAACCTAGCTTGGTTGTTCCCAACCAATTTGCAGCTGTTATCACAAAAAACCTGCTCAAACAAAATAACACAAAACACATTCCCAAACTCCAGAACACATCACATACAAATTCTTGCACACGTTCAAACCACACATGCAAGTTGAAAAAATATGGGATGGGAGGCAGACAGAATGTGATAGCATATGATGACATCACACAACAATCTCCCCCTCTGGCTGCCAACCATCATCCACCATACCAACATCTCAAGCATGCATACTCAATGCACACTCATCCCAGCAAGCTTCATGCCCTTCCAATGATCCGCCTCCGCCAGACGCTTGGTGAAAATATCTGCTGCCTGCTGATGGGTCTTCACTATCTCCAGCCGCACCTCCTTATCAAGGAGTCTCCTCACCCAGTGCCACTTAGGCCTTATGTGTTTTGTCAGCCCATGCAGACAAGCATTCTTGGCGAGCTTCACAGCAGACTCATTGTCACAGAACACAACTGTCGGCTCCTCCTGACCAACTCCCAACTCCTCCAACAAGCGCCTCAGCCACACCACTTCCTTGGTCCCATGGTGTAAGGCCATGTACTCAGTCTCACATGAGGACAATCCCACCTCATTCTGCTTCTTGCTGCGCCAGCTCACAGCACCACCTCCTAGCAAGCACACATAACCCCCAATGCTGGTGCCATCCGCTTTCACTGAGTTGAAGCTAGCGTCAGTATAGCAACTCAAGAGCATCTCTCCACTCTTCACATCTGCAACACCTCTCTGCAACCGCTGCCTCACTCCACTGTACTCCTATCCCACTGATGCCGTAGCGCTCACATAGCGGACCAACCTCTTGGCCGCTTCCAGCTGCTCATGACTAGGGCGTGAGACCACACTAGCCAATCGTGATGTAGCAAATGCAATGTCAGGCCGTGTATGATTTGCAGCATAATTCAGCGACCCAACCATCGAATGAAACAGCTTCCTGTCACTATCACCCACTACCTCCTCATCAGCACATGGCTCCACAGTGAACCCCGAAGGTAGTGGTGTTGCTGGCTTTCCCCCATCTTGCAGCCCATACTTCTCAGCCAGCCCCTCACAGTACTTCCTCTGGTGCAACCTCAGCACACCCTTCTCCACATCTCTCTCCACATGCATCCCCAAGTAGTACTTCACCTCACCCATCTTGGAACACTTGAACTGCATCTCCAGCATCTGCTCTGCGCTGTCCAGCAAAGCAGTTGATGCAGAAAAGAGAAGGATATCATCCACGTACACCAAGAGCATGAGGATTTCATCCTTCTCCTGCAGCAGGAATAGGCTGGGGTCACACTCACTCTTCTTGAAACCCCCAGCCAACAGCGCCTCCTCCAACTTGTGATACCATGCACGAGGCGCCTGCTTAAGGCCATAGATGGCCTTCTTCAGCCTGCAGACCCTGCCGCTCCCATCATCCAGCCCCTCTGGCTGCTTCATGTACACCTCCTCCAGAATGATCCCATTCAGAAAGGCAGTCACAATGTCCATCTGCAGCTATCGCCAACAGCACCCTCAGTGTTGTTCCTTTCCCCACAGGAGCAAACACCTCATCATAGTCCTTCCCCTTTGTCTGCTGAAACCCCCGTGCCACAAGCCTAGACTTGTAGCGGGTCAGCTCCCCTTCAGGTCCATACTTGTGCCTGTAGATCATCTTGGAAGTGATTGCCTTCTTCCCAGGAGGCAAGTCACACAGGTCCCATGTCTCATTTTCAATCAGGGACCCGAACTCCTCATCCTCACTCGCCTTCCACTTCTCCCCATTTGGTCCATTCAAGGCCTCCTCTCGAGTCTTGGGCTCAGGGATTGGTGCCCAGTAGCAGTGAGCGATCTCATCTTCCTCAATCTGCTCAACCACACTCCCAGCCTGCACCACATTTGGCTTGCCTCTTCCCCCATAGGTCAGCCTCACAGGAGGGCGCACATCCCTCCTAGGTCGCTCAGGCGGGTGTGGAACTCGAGGTGGAGACTCATGTTGCTGCTGCTGCTGCTCCACTTCAGCTGCTCCCCCTTCCTCAGTCACCCCAGACATCTCCTCCTCAGACACTGCAACCTCCACCTGCCTTGAAGGCTGCTGCAACTCATCTGCCTCCACAATGAGTGGTGTAGATGGAAGCTTCTGTTGCTGCTGCTTCCATTCCTTGTAGTACAGGGACTCAAGAAACTTCACATCCCTTGACACTGTCAGCTTCTGGGTGGTCAAGTCCCATAGCAGCCATCCCTTGTGATCCTTTGCAATCCCCAAGTGCACACCCCATCTTCCAGAAGCCTCCAGCTTCCCTCTTTTCTCCTTAGGCACATGAAACACTACCATGCACCCAAATGCCCTCACCATATTCACAGCTGGAGCACTCCCATACCACTTGGTATATGGGATCCACTCCTTATCCCCAACTGTAGCCAGCACCCTATTCTTCACAAGGGCGACCTGCCTCAGTGCAGACACCCAAAACGGATCAGGCAGCCCTGCACGCCCAAGGAGAGTGCGTGCCCCCTCCTGCAGGGTCCTGTTGAACCTCTCAGCCACGCCATTCTGCTGCGGATTGTAGGGCACTGTCAGTTGATGCTGAATCCCCTTCCTCTTCAACTCCCCCTCAAAATCAGCTCCAATGAACTCCCCACCATTATCACTGCGGATCACCTTCACCTTGTGTCCGCATTCCCTCTGAGCTCTAGGCATCCACTCCTTAAGGACAGCCGCTGCCACCTCTCCCTTGCTCTTCAAAGGGTAAACCCACACTGCCCGAGTGTGGTCATCCACAATTGTCAAGAAATAGCGGCTGCCTGAGAGGGAAGGGGCTCTTGTGGGCCCCACCACATCCATGTGCACAAGTGCAAGTGGGGTCTTGGCTGGTCCTGTTGCACTGTTGAAGGGGAACTTGGAGAACTTGGTCTCCAAGCATGTAGGACAGCTCCCAATCTCCTTCACTCCCCCTTTCACATCCAAGCCCTTCAGGCTTCCATCCTTCACCAACTTCTGCAGCATAGGGAAGTTCACATGAGACAGCCTCTCATGCCATATCTCCTAATCGGCCTCTCCACTCCTTGATGAAGCCTTAGCCCATGCCGCACTCGCATCCACACCAGCAAGCACCTCACCATGTGTCTGCTGCTGCTGCACTTTCTTGACTGCTTCCAGGACCCCATCAGTTGGTGCAGTTGCATCTCCTCCTGCTGTTGCCTTTCCCGCTGCTGCCGTTGCTGCTGTTGGAGTCTTCCCATTCCAAGGGATGATGGGCAGCTGCCACAGGTCCTTGATGCAGCTGGTCTCCTCTTCCAGACTCCACAGCACCTTCTTCCCAAGCTTAGCACGGCAGCTGGTTGGTCCAAAGGTCACTTCGGCCTTACTCTTCTGCAATCGCCGCACAGAGAAAAGGTTAGCAGACAAGCCTTTAACCAGCAGAACATTCCCAAGCCCCACAAGCTCCCCATTAGCTCCCTTAACCTTGGCATTCCCAACACCAATGACGGGGAGCAAAGCACCTGACGCTGCTGCCACATACTTAATCTTCCCAGGGGGTTTTACCTCATCAAGCAAATCTGCCCGTGGATTCATGTGACTGGTGCAACCCGAATCAATCACCCAGTGCGTGAGAGGGTGCATCACAACCTTTCCCACAGATCCCACATCACCCTCATGCCCATGCACATCCTCAACCATGAGAAACATCCCAGGATATGCATTACCTTGTGCACCTTCACCTTGTGCACCTGAGCCTTGCACAGCGCCACCTTGTGCGCGTTCACCACTGGGCGGCTTCATGCCTGGAGGTGCCCATCCCTCCGGCCTGCTGAAGCACTTGAACCAAGGATGCCCAACCTTCTTGCAGTACCAGCAGGTGCCCTCCATTCTGGTACTCCCCCTGCCACTGGAGCTCCCATGCCCCTCATTATAGTCACCTCGGCCTCTACCTCTGCCAAAGCTTCTCCCACGGCCTCGGCCTCTCCAACCCCCTCTTCCTCTGCCACGCCCTGCAACTCCATACCCCTCAGCAGTCTTAGTGGCAGCACCGCCTCCCACATGGCGTCTGCGGAAGTCCTCCTGCAGAATCTGCTGCCTTAGCCACTCAGGTGTCCATTGATCTTGCTGAGAGTTGAGGGTGGGGATGAGGTTGTCCCAAGAGTTGTCCAACACCGAGATGATCTTGGTGCACTGCTGCAGCTGAGATACACTGCTGCCCGCTGCTGCCATCCTTGCATAGGTGTCCTTGATCTTGTCAAGGACCGGCTTCACATCGTCCCCTGGTCGCATGGAGATGGCAGCAAGTTCCTTCTCGAGCACGATCACCATCGGGAGAGTGTTGGGCTGAATCACATCGCGTAGTAGTTTCCACGCCCTTGGACCCGAATCATCCGCTTCCACAAGATCCTTGATGTGCTCGAACATCTCCTTGTTGACCGATTGAAGGATGAGGTCGAAAAGCACCGCGCTTTTCTTAATCCACCGTTCACGTGCTTCGCCTTCTTCCGGCATCTTCTCTTCCCCAACAGCAATCTTCAGTAGCTTGTAGCAAGGCACTCCTGATCCGTCCGCTCCATTCCTCATAGTTGGAGCCATCCAAAGTTTCAACTTTTGATGGCGGCGGTTCACTTGCCTTCTCAGCTATAGCTCCTCTTCCATTAGCATCTCCTCCTCTCTCATTCATCTTCTCCTTGAGAAATGACGAATTTCAGCCCCCCTTTGCTGTCCACACTCAGCTCCCTCGATATTTTCACAAGTATCGGCGTCCACGAAATTTCGGCACAGTTTCCCTTAGCGGAAGACACATCCAACCTTTAGAACACCACTTAGGCACACCCACAGGCCATGATGGGTCTAGAAGGGTCTTCACACTTCTGTAGACTCCTCTCAATGTCCTTAATATCGCTCTGATACCACTTGTTAGAATTAAGGACGGAGTCTAGGTGAACTTAGGAACTAGAATTACTCAAAATATAAATCCGAAATTCTAGACAGAAAAGTCGTCTTCCCAAGAAACAACGTCGACAAAAAACTAACCGTTGGAATGTTGCGAAACTTGGATATGTTGTAGCTCTTAATCTCAGCTACCGTTCCCAATTTGAATCACGTTGATTGATGAAGTATTCGCGACGCCATGGCTTTCGACGCATTAGGGGGTAAAGCTGTAGGAGGAGAACTTAACTCAATCTCAAAGGTTCAATCAAAGTTCAAGAATCTCACAAGGAATTAGAGGAGCAAGAGAAAGGTTGGGATAAAAGAGAGGGATGAGAGGGAAGATCCCAAGAGAGTCCCCAACCAAGGAAACCCCATAAGCACAAAGATTCCCTCCCTATAGGAACCCCAACTTTGACATTTGTCCCTTCCCAACCAATCCATCCAAGTTGGCCACCCTTGCCAACCTAGCTTGGTTGTTCCCAACCAATTTGCAGCTGTTACAGTGAGTGACAAATTTCCCCAACCCCCAAAGGTCCCAACTCCATATAGAGTCACCCCACAACTTCACTTTGTAACCGCCGCAATTGTAACGCAAGCTCATGAACTTTGAATCTTCATAGCTTTCGCGTTCTTGCTCCGATTGAAGGGATTCTCGTTGCGTCGGAAAGATCTTCTCAAAATCTATCATCACAAAAAACCTGCTCAAACAAAATAACACAAAACACATTCCCAAACTCCATAACACATCACACACAAATTCTTGCACACGTTCAAACCACACATGCAAGTTGAAAAAATATGGGATGGGAGGCAGACAGAATGTGATAGCATATGATGACATCACACAACAGCACTTGCCTATATATTTGCATGCTTGTTTGTACTGTGAATATATATACTTTTCTAGTGAACTTCTACTCTACTCGAATTTTGACCAAGAACTTGAAGGCGAACTCTGCCCAAATACCACCAGCGCCTAGCACGCTATTCGAATACCGTTACTCTGTCAAAATCGCTCCACACTTAACAAGCGCTCACGCTTTAGCATTACTTCACAATTGACTTTTCAAGAATCCCCCCTTCTCTTGAATCCTCTTTATCAAATTACTTGGCACATTTTCGAGTTCACCTCTTGGGCATTTTCTAGTGAACTTACAAGGGTTCCCTTTATAAGGCACCCAAACACCCAAATAAAAAGCAACTTTGAAGGGCGGCATGTGATAAGACACATGAGTCTTCTATCTGGGCTTTTATGGTATGGTTGCGGGAGTAGTATATGTGCTATAATTCGGGTAATTATGTGGTGGATTCTGAATGGTCAGAAATAGCGAGGTAGTTATTTTGGGACGACGGGCAGGCGTGGATTTTTAGTATCGAGCAACACCAGATCTCCATCCTAGTACGCCGCTACCCCTTACGCTCGGTCCGCGTTTGTAAGTAGCAGGTTTATTATTGCCAGTAAAATCGCGTGAAGGTAGGCAATCGGGCAAGTGAGGGAATCCGCAATGCTTTTTGCGCCCTTAGGTAGGTGACCGCATAGTGGAAGTTTGGCTCTAGGTTTGAGCCCATGTGTCTGTCGTGAGTTTAACCGTGGTTGAGTTTGCAAGTACTGTAGTGACTTCTAATATCATTGCGTGTTGAGTAGCAGCTCTGCACTTTGAAAGCGTGCACTGTCGCCAAAAACATATTATTTTTTCCCGCGGATGCATATTTCGTAACTAATGCGTAATGGGCCACATGCGTTTGTCGAAATCCTGCAACATGATACCACCAATGGCGATCTCGCTGACGTCCGTAAACAACTTGAACGGATGGTAAGGATCAGCAAGGCAAGTACTGGTGACAAGCTGTGGTGATTTTCAAGGCAGAAAGTGTTGTCTGTCACCCCCCCCCCCTCCCCTCTTTCCCCCCCCACATAATCGGTCCCCTTCCGCACCAAGTCCATTAACCAAGCAAATAACCTTGCCAGATCCAAAATTCACCTCTGGATATAATTTACGAACCCCGAAAACTTTTATATTCACCTAGGTTAGTAGTAGGGGGATACCACGTGCGGATGCTTTCGATTTTCGTGGGTCTGTTTCAATGTCGTGGTTGGAGATGACGGAGCTCAGAAATTCCAGCTTCGTATGTGGAAACTCACACCTAGACCTTTTGTTATTAGCCGGTGCTGAAAACTGCTTCCACGTGCTTCGTGTGTTTCTCTCGAGTTATGCTGTATATCAATATATCGTCTAGGTAGGCGAGAGTACACGTATCCAAAAAATGCCATAACACTTCATTCAGTGTCATCTAGAGCATGGAGGGTGCATTGGATTGCAAGAATGGCATCACTGTATATTTTTACAAGCTGTAACTGGTACGAAAGATTGATTTGTATTAGTCTTCCAGCATGACCCTGATCTGGTGGTTACCTCCTCAAAGGTCAATCTTCAAGAAACAACGCGCCTGACAAAGTTGGTTAAAGAGTTTGTCAGCCTGCGGGATCGGATAATGCGACTTGACCGTCACGTTGCCCAAGGCCTGATGTATCATGCACGTATGGAACCCTCCGTCTTACTTCAGTGTGAACAGTAATGGGGCAGCAATTGGTGATACGCTTGGCCAGATGAGTAATTTCTCTAGCAGATAATTGAACTCATTCTGTTCCGATTGACCAAGTCTAAAACATCGCTATATTGTTGGTTGGATGTCGTGTTCCAACTATAAACACCTTTGCGACAGATTTCACCTCTCGCTTTTATGGTGATGGCATTGATCTGCATTGTACTGATGCTAGGCTGCGACCACTACCATGTGATGCTCTGTCCATTGCTGCGAACACTACAGCTGCCGGTTGGCCAATCGAACGTCACTAGCGAATCTTGCTCAAGGAGCACGTCCATGCCATCAAGTGTCGTAACCAGCAACTTGTGCGTAAACTAAAAGTCCCATTCACACCGCAGTCCAACTTACAACGGCTTTTCCTTGATGACGAGTTGGATACAATTCAATAAGCGTGTGCGTGGATACATTGTTTCCCATCCAATGTTGTGTTATTCTACACCTCGAGCGCTGTGCCCCCCTCTCCATCGGTTGGTGCACCACCACAGATTTGATGGAAATCAAAGCATACTGTACTTCATAAGCAAGGTTATGCGTTTCACGCGATTTTTTCACATTCAAAACATTTGAAAATGAGTAGAATGGTAGAACGAGTGTAAGAAAATGACATTTCATTATCATGTGCTTTTCCTCATAAAGCATACACCACTATAAAGGGGTTCCCCCGCTCTTTATTATGTTCATCCGGGATGAGTTACCTAAATACAGCTGATACCGAGCCACATGCCTTTTTTGTGTGCTTTGTCCCCTCAATTTCAATTTCCCGCTCCCCTCAATATCAATTCGCCCCTCCCTTGAATTTCTATTCCCTCAAGGCTTCGAATATCGATTCCCCCCTTGCATCCCCTCATTTTTACTTCGATCCTCCCCCAACTTTGATTCCACCCCCCGCCCCTAAACCTCTTGTCATGCCCAGTACTTCTGTGTCTCCCATCCTTTCCCATCTCGTGATGCGCCAACTTTGTGCAAACTCTGTTTGTGCGAGCGAATTCAAATGTGTGACCTTCATTAATTCCACAGCATATGTGGTTTACTTGCATGATTTTGTTAACTCGCCTCCCTCGTCCGCCAGGTGTCAAAATCCACTTTAAACACGGCCTTACAGGCTGAGGTAAGCTGGTACAGTGGGTATCCAGTCGAAAACCCTTCCCCATAAAAAAATCCTACCCGATTGCCCCCCAACGCCCATTTCATTACATTTTGACACGATCAACTTAGTAACATGTAGTGGTCCAGGCTGTTGTACAAGTGTAGGTGAAGACACAAAGATTCTCTGTACTTGTTATCTATGACAAATTAAGCCACCCGTGACAGATTATATGATGGATACTTCCAATAATGCCCACTTAAAGTCCGCGACCCCAATTGCAAGCAAACAAGAACCTCGTTGTCTGCAACCCCAATTGCAAGTCGCTGGCTTCAAGCGCACTACGTTTGAAAGGGTTGGATGAAGGGCTTTCTTGTATCGAAGAAGGTTGTTTGTGACCCGTGTAGGTCCCTCGACAAACACAAAACTTGGAAACATCCTGCGCGGAGGGACCCACCTATATTTAACACTTCCTTTAATTTGATCGTCAAGATCTACCGAATTAGGATCTTCAACTCACTTCTGATCTAAGGTCGTAGATTTCCAAAGTTTGTATGTGTGTGTGCGTACAGTATGTGTGTGTGTGTGTGTGTGTGGGTGTGTGTGTGTATGTGTGTATGTTTGTGTGTGTGTGTGTGTGTGTGTTAATGATATTTTCTTGCGATTTTGGATCGTTAGATAGTTTTTATTTCAATTGGGCTGCCCTAAATGCGAGCGATTTGACTTCACCTTTTCCTGCATCCAATTGCAACCACTCCTCCATCGTTGACTTGGCGACATTTTTCTAAGGGCGTATAACTTTTTCGTATATTGGTGGGCACCGGAAAAGAAACGGATGTTGGCATCGATCAACATCGGTCTGAGACTGATTCCGTATTCAGGTTATATTTTTTGTTGACCAAGCGAAGTCTCGCGGAAAAACCCTGTCAAATTCACGAATATCGTAACCCTTCGACGTTGGTTAAGGCGATGCGGAGTGTACGGGGGTACATTCGGGGATCGTGCGGAGTCGATGCCCGGGTGCCCTAAAATGATGCTCCCTAAGGCTTCACAAAACCCACTTCTCATTTTCATACACACTATATTCGAACCATTTGAGCGGCAGGCTTTAAAGCCGGCGACTACATTTGAGGGGGTTCGTGGTGTAGCTTTAGGATTTGTCGGCCTGGTATTGCGTGATTGGCTTACGAGAGAGGCGATACTGGACAACTGACGACAGAGTATGCGGACTTCGCAAGCATCGAGAAGTGGGAGTTGCAAGATTGGAGGGGGGAAGGAAATTTCAGGGGGAGGGGATCGAAATTTGGGGAGAGGGGGGAGGGGGGATC